TTCAATTGAAGACTGCCCTTGAATTGAATGTGGAAGGCCGCTGGCCCTGTGGACGACCATTTATGCACTGGCTGGACATGCGCCTCGCAAAAGTCACCTGCCGAGATGCCGCAGACAGTATGAAGTGGAAAAATCGGTGCAAACAAGCAGACCCCACATAAGTGGGAAAATGCGAAGAAGAAGAAGACCCAGAACTAATCCTATCACTGAGTTTGCAATTAACATATTAAAGTCTCAGAAGTGCACTGATGGTGTTTCGGTGACATCAGAAGAGGTTTGCTGAGATATTTCAGCTTAAAGCCCATGCTTGATTGGGCTCATCACTGGATAATCAGGTCATTACTGCGCATGGAATAACATTGTTCATGTTATGAATTTATTGATGCTAGACAATGTTTTCTTAAATACTGCACATTTTCAGCACATATTCAGCTTTTGGATCTGCGACATATCATGCTTGAGTGCGATCCTTTCCCAGTTGTCAAGTGAAAAATGTGCTTTTGCAAATTCTTGTCAACAATGTATGAATCATGATGTTTTCTAATCATGGATAGATGGATCCAATGTTTGAAACCCAAAATACTCACAGGTTCTTTTTCTAGGCAGTATTTACATGAACTCTTTGTGTCTGAGTATAATTAATGATTTTTCATATAAGGTTGTTTCTTCACTTCTTTGTTATGTCTGGTAGCACACTGCTTTGGATGGAACATGATGCCCCCCCCTAGTGGTCCCATTGAAGATGACGTTATCCTTCTCTTGCAAAAATGAATTTCTAAGGAAAAAGTACCAAAGAAGACTTGGAAATGCATTATTCTTATTGTCCCTTAAACAAAATCTTTGTGTAAAGTTGAAACAGAGACTTCTTTTCAATGCTTTTTCAATGTTTCTATAACTTTCTATTTTATGAAATGTTTCTATAATTTCATAAACCTGTTTTTTTTAAGAGTGTCTTACCTTTAAAGCATATAAACAAGATTGGAGAGATCCTCTACATCAATGTGGAAATATTCTCTTTCACAGACAGAACTATTTGCTGTTTGCATGTTTAAGAGCTTCAGATGTACACAGAAAAAGTGTTAGACTGGGTGGAGTCTTGCACAGTTCTTTGATTCAGGGTGCAGCAATGAAACACTAAGCAACCTGCACTTTGATCAGGACTGATACTCTGTGAGAACACAATTACCAGCTCTCTGAATGATCAGAAGTTTATCAAAACTCCACCTGTTTTCTCAGGCAATTTAAAATGGGAGAAAATGTAGGCAAGCCTTCTGTAAACAAAAAAGTCTAACTCCTACATTTTTACTGAGCCAAGATATAACTACTACTGTATATTGCAATACATGCCTATTGCCACACTTCTTTACTCTGCTCAAGGTTTAAGATTAGTCTGTGGGTGTTTGGGGCTGGGGAGTATTGGATTACACATAAACCAAAGTAATCTCATTACAGATTGCTACCTTAATCTCTTATAAAGATAATCTCATTTAAAAGATACATTTAAACAAAGTTAACATCACTGATTGTTTGAGAGATTACTTAGCATTGTATCTACAAAAGAAGAAACTTTCAAAATAATATATTGTACTCTGTGTGTGTGGTGGAAGAGTTGCATTAAAGAGAATTATGGAGCCTTTACCCCTGCTTGCATCATTGATTTATAATTGCTGATAAAAACTCTACAGAAACAGTGATTATCTGCTGGTATACATGCTGTTAAGGATTTAGTATGGCAGTAACGGAGATGTCAGTCTGTGTGGTGAAACTGATAGGGAGTAGGGTTGGACATACCCTCCGCTTTCTAATAGCAAGGTCTTGAAAAACCCTGTTCAAGACAAGCTATAACAGCCCAGGGTAAAAAGTCTTTCAAGACTGAGGGAGACATTTGTAGACACTTGATTTTAAGAACTTAAAATCAAAGGCTGATTACTTAATTCTTTAATATAAAGACAATGTATGAATTTTTCAAAATGAAAGCTCCATATTTCTGTTTTGCACTGGTAAATTTTCTATTTAGTTTCTATATCCTAGCTTCATATCTAGGATTCCTGTACACTTTATAAATAAAACTTCATATTTATAAATAAGTGGGGATGTTTGCTGAGATGTAGGCATTTCAGAGTCTGTAATCAAAACAATCATAAAGTTGACCTCAGTTAATTAAGTTTTGGGTAAATGATAAGTGTCTATAAACAGTACAGAAACACACAACATAAGATCAGAGCAGAAGGAAAGGAGAGAAATGAAGGATAACAAGGTCAGACCATGAGAGAGAGGAGAAGAGGAGAGGAAACTTGAAGCTTGTGCAGGCAAGAGTCCCTACTTTATGATCATCCAAACAAAACCTGATTAGAGTTAGGAATAAGAACTTTGTTAGAATGAGCTTATTCTGTGTTTTTAAGGAACCTGGGTTTCCTGAGTCAAGAATATATTTGTTAAAGATGGCCTTTCCTTCTTCCGCATGCATTTTTAGAATAGGGAGATACTGTAGGCTCCCATTTATTTTGTGGCATATGGGTTTGAAGAGAGAGACTTAATTGCAGGTTAGTTTAGAAGACAGCTTATCTCTTCTTTGGCCTCTATACTGTAGGTATTATTTAACAGCCTGGGATTTTCTGGGAAATTTAGATGTCGGCCTCTGAAAAGCCTTGTCTGTACATACTGTATATACAGAGTAACTTGTGTGTTGTATGTTTATGTTGTGAGTAGTGTAGTGTCACTGTCATTGTTAATAAATAATTGTTTAACCAAGTGTGCCTGAATTACTACTCTTTTCAGCCAAAGCTGTACCAGAAAACAAATAATTCATATACAAGCTCCTTATATTCTGGCAAAATCCTTACAAGTCAGGGGTTATGATAATTATTTATTGACTAATCTAATTGGTCAGTTCTTGATTTTCTCCGTTTTTGTAACCCCCCATTTGTAACAACATTTAATATCGTATCCAAGATTAAATTTTTTCTAAACAATATGTCAAAACATAGTTCAAGGGAGTTATAATAGAAGTATTTAAATATATACAATTATTACAATTATAATAGTAACTTTGATTTAAATAGCAAATCTCAAAGTGACACAATATACAAAAAGACACATTTCACAAGGTTTATTAAAGAAATTTGCAAATCCAAAAAAACAAAGCAGATACGTATATTATTTAGCTATAACCATCATCATCACCCAGTGATTATCATCACTGATAATTTAACTGCATACATTTAGTGTTGCATGTTCCTATTATGGCTGATGGCCGATAAAGGTTTGTGAAATTTCAGGGAGCAGTTCTCACTTGGAGTGAGTCAATGCATCATCCTCATGTAACATCAGATCAAAACCTATTCATCTTAACATCTGGCTTGAGAACTATTTTGCTAGTTATCTGAGATGCATAATAAACTGCAGCCTGGCAGCATGACAAATATCTATTCTCAGCCCAAGGCAGTAAGACAGTTTCCAAAAAAGCAGGAAACTACCAGCAAAACAAGTACACACAAATGGGGGATATGAATGACATCGCTCCTGCCAAGTGCACAGTCATTCTTAAAGGGGCTGCTGCCTATCTAAAGTCTGTACTATGGGCAGAAACCAGAAAGATACATAACTGCATTCCTTCATATCATCGAAGTAACAGTAGTAATACTTCCAGTCCAATAGATTGCACCAGCAATCTACAATGGCAGTACCTGACGTTGTTCAAACCTGTTCACTCAGATATATACTCTGGCTAAATTTGCATTGCATGCAAGGTAGGTAAGTAGATTCATTATCTAGGCCTATCAGTCACTTTGGGCTGTAGTTAAAATAAAACAGAACAATTAAATCTAAAGAAAATGTAGTGGAGCTAAGGCAACTTAAACTTAAAAGCCTTAAAAGGCTTGAGGAAATACACTGCAACATTGTATCAGTATCTCGTTGTATTGATTGGTTGTGCAAGGTATTCAGTCAGGAAACTCACATAACTGTTGCATGATTATTTTTAATAGCAAATGAATGGCAATTCTACCCAGTACTAGTTGTGAATATCCTTTTGTTTAAAAATCCATGGAAATATACTTCAACAAAATAACTAGGCAGATTGTTCCAGACACCAACAGTCTTTATTTTCTTACAGCAATTAGGTTGTTTTTGTCAGTAACTTTCAAGAGTGTGGGTTTGTGATAGGAATGCTGTACGTTGTTGTGGTGAACTAGTAACTGGCACTCTTATCCCTAGACCAGAATTTCAAAATCTATGACCCAGCATCACCAGGGACACAGTGGTGTTGGGGGTATCTTTCGGACGATACGAAACATGATGTTAAACCAAAGTCCTGACTAAATGGTCAAGATCTCACCGTACTGATCTTAAAAGTAAGGATGGTAACTCTGGTGTCCTGGCTGAATTCCTCTCTGGGCTCATAGAGTCTCCTCTCAGATAATATGCTATCGGAAGCCTATTGAAGGTCTGAACAGCACACAAACAGAATCGGAAAAAAAAACCAAGGCCTTGTCTTGTTTTGTAAACAACTATGCTTTTAAAACACACGTACCACAAATATACTAAACATAAATTTTACTTCTACAACACAAATTTGAAAGTAGCACTTCTATTAATACTTTTGCTTTACTGTTATCTTTTATTTTTTCCAAATGCTTTATTGTTCCCGATTTAAATATACTAAACAATTTAATTAAAACCGCATTTTCGACTATTTTATAGCTGCAAAGTAGCATAGATAAATTTTGAAATAAGTGCATATTAAGTAAAGTATACCGCAGCTGCACAAATAGCAGTCGTGCTTACAAAAAATAAACTTGCAATGCAAGACTTGACGGGAACTGTTAGAGAGGCACGTCAAGCACCTTTACTTTTAAAATGGTGTGAAGAATTATATTTGAAAAAATCGCGATTTTTTAAATTGTCGTATAGACTAAGAGACTTGGCTTACCACCGACTAAAAATATTTTTGTAAATACATCGAGGAAATAATTGGCGCAAGAACCGGAAACAGAATAAAACATCGTGTTTTTTCAATGACAGTTTCCTCTTGAAACAGGCCAAATGAAATAACCACTCGAAAAACGCTGTAAATACCGGCCTTGAAAGTCTTCTGAGACTGGCGACTTGATAGCGCCGTTTCAGGATTGCGTTATCTTTTCAAGGAGGAGGACGAGACCAATTGTGCAAAACAAAAAGTTACACAAGTTTAATGTAGGAAGTTGTAATGTTAGCCTGGGCTGGGGTGCCTCTGACACTAGGAACAGTACAGTAGACCGCTGTGTGGATTGGTACAGAATGGATGCTTTCTGGTTGTTACTGCTGCTGTTCCCTGTCCTCTTGTGGACGAGCAGCACGTTTGTATTTTATTTTAAAAAGGTTTTCTACGTTGTCTGGATGATGTTTCTGGCGATAATTGCAATCCCGATTTGTATTTTGAAAAGCGGGGGCAGGGATATTGAAAACATGAGGTAAGCTGTCTTTTATTTGGATAAATGCTGTGTGTAACAATGGAAATATTTGCAGACCACAAGTGTAGCATTGATACACGGTGGCTGTTTTGTAGAAGGATCCTAGAACTGAGGTCTGGAGAGTTGCAGTTAAAAATTCGACTGAATATCGCAGCTTTATGTAAATCAGTTTCGAAAATATTACATCAGATATGTCCAATGGGAAAGCATTTCAGGTGAGAATTATTTTCTTCGTTCACATTGGAATGCTTCAAAGCCTGGCTGTTTCATATATACAGTATAAGACACATGTGTAACGGTGTGTTATTCCAATCTGAGATGGCTGTAACGGGCCCAGAGGGTGGACATTTTCAAATTGCGTGAACACGTTTCGTAGGAATTTGATTTCCAATAGTTAATGCAGTTCACAGCACTGCTTTGAAACGAAATGTTTTAATAGAAAAAAACAATTACCTTTGGTATCGCACTACATAGTGGTACATGTGTCGCAAATTTCTTGTTAAATTACGTTAGATAACGTTTTCTGATGCAGTAGCACTGTGCTACACACAGTAACCAAAGTTTCAAAAGACGTTTCCTAATTTTTAGTCTATTTAAACCCAGTGAAAATTCTTCATCCCAAAAACCCTTCTCATCCCTTTTAATTGTATAGTGATAATACAAATAATGACAATTACAATTTCTAGCTGTCGGTAGAAAATCAGGGCTTTTTTACTACAGGAGAAAGTTTGGCTTCGGATAATTGCAGAAGTGGTTGACCAAGACAATGATTGTGAAGTTTGCATTGCCTGTACAAGTTCTCCTGACAAATACTTTATTAATCACAATTGAAAAGATCAAACATTTGTAGTACTTCCTTCTTGGGAACCTTGGAGGATGAACGTTTGATTTACAAATTAAGGATTAGATGCCATCTTGATTTGTATTTTTTTAAACACTAATCACATTTGGCGTGGTCCAAACAACAACCAGTTTCTGATGTCATATTTAAAAAGTGCTCACCCCTTTAATTATTAACAACTTCCAACTTAAGGATTAAAGTTCACAGGCAGAAATACGACATCATATGTTAACAACCTGAGTCAGGAAGGATAATGAAATTACTGACGTGATAAGGTGAATTGTAGTAGATGGAGACTGAATTATAAATAATCGGAATCCTGCCCTATGGAGGAAAGGAACAGAATTTTTTTTTTTCCATTTTACAGCAATCACAAAGGTTCATTTCCAACGAGTATCACATTAGCACATTTCAATTCAGCTAGTGAAAAATATAGTGGAATTGGTGTTCAGCAATAGAAAGAGGGAGGCCTCCAAGAGTGTAATAATGGAAACACTGTGCACTGAACTGTGGAATTTGCCTTGTTGTGACATGAACAGAACCCAATGCTGTATGAGAAATATTGTTTCCAGTGGAGTGGAAACAGAGCGATCGACTCATTAAGCAGTCCAATCGTATAATTGTCCAATCCTCTTAACTGACATTATGAATTATTAATCTAGCCACTTCATTTTTATTTTAAATAACCTTAACACTTGCATAGGGTTGGTTGTTAGTCCATTAGATATGATTGATTGTTATTAGAATATTACATTGACAGGTCTGACAGGACAGTACAGCATGTGGGGTTATTGCATTATTTCTCGTGACGATTGTTGTCCCTGTTGCCTTGTCATTTGGAGGTAAAAAGCAAACCCCAGGAGCCAAAGCGTCTAGTATCTGGTAGGCTCTGTGCTGAGACATTCTGTGTAAGAACGTAATGTTTCAAATATTTTGTGAATCCTTACTTGTGCCACTACAGAATGCTAATTGATTTTGAAGGTTATCCCAGAGATGCTATAGTTGAGTCCTCTAAAAATATAATCAGAATCATTAACATGCCTCCATTTTATTTGGCAATTGATGTATCTTTTAATTTAGTGAGGTTACAGTTTACTTACTATACCTATTAGAATTGAGACGAAGAGTCAAAGAGTAGTGACTTTATACGGTAATTACACTAAACCGTCAACAGCTCAGATGTCCTTGTAGATTAACATTACCGAACACTTCAGGAACAGCAAAAGTCTCAAGAGGTCTGGTCTTTTTCTGTATCTTATTACATTGTTTTCTTTTATGTCTAACAAAATAATAATAAACTTTGGAACAGCTCTGCAATGATTACAGTTTTCCTGCAGTACAACATATAAAACTAATTAATATTGTATATTATTGCACCAAAACGGAGACGGTCTCTGGGTGGTTACAGGCACCAGACCTCATCTAGTTCTGTGTAGCAGAAATTGCAGTATTCTTTTAAACCCTGAATCTACAGCAAAGCCAGTATGCAGTAACATTTTCATTACACCCACCAAATGTGTAGAAAAGTGACTCCATTATTCTCTCTTCAATATTCCTCTATTTATTTTGCCCTGATACTCGTTCTGCTCTTGCAAGCAGTGCGGAGTTTGAACAAAGTAATAGCAGGGCTTTTCTTATCTAATGCTTTTAAGCATTTAACACATTAAATCACAAGATTACATGATGGGTGCTTTGGGCTGCATTAAAAAAAAACTCCTAAGATGTAAAATTTAGCTACCATGCACCCTTTGGAATACATTCTCCACCACTGTGTCATTTATTTTAGTTGTTTTGTGTTTACTGTAGGAATTTTTTGCAATACTAACAATTAATGCAGAAATTCCTTAGGTTTTAGCCTACATTGAACATTTGACATTTAGCTTACTTTAAGATGCAAAGTGAAGTCCAATGACGGAGATAAATAATCTCTTTGCCTAATCTCAGACAACAGAACGGTGTCAGTTTCACTCTTCCTACTCCTAACTCCTTTTTGAAATGAACAAATGCTGATCTCCTGTAACACAGGACCTTTACCATCTTTGTTCATGTAAAACAAGTGGAAAGACCGCCGTGAGCTGCAAGAATGTGCCAGCAGAATTCCACCATTGATTTTGTCTTAAGTCTGGGTTCTCAGCTATAGAACATCAGAAATGCTCAAATGAGACAAGGCCATTTGAGGCATCGGGTTCTATTTATTTATAGCCAGTACTGGCTGTACTGGGAACAGACACTCCCAAGTATGAAATCTCTTTAACTTGGCACAACAGGTCTCAAACGCTCTTTCTGGAGGGACACAATTTCATCCTGCTTTCTTTCCATCTGAGCTTCTGTTTTCAGTTAATTGCTTAATCAATTGATGAATGGCACAATTTTAATGCTATTTTCCAGACCTACAGCTCTTTAGAGGTGCTACACCTGTAATTCATTTTTTTCAGTTATCACCTGTCAGGGAAATATTACAAATTAATTTCTATCTGTCAATGCTAATTATTTTCTCACTAGGTTAATTGGTAGGTTAAGCTCAGTTTTTAAAAAAGGAAGGTATTTAGGCCCTCTGGAATTTTAGATCCCTGCTTTACACGCTAATATATTGGGGTTGAGTTTAGCATTATTTCTAATAGTAGGTACATTTTGACTAAGTGTATGACATAGTTGTGGGGTTGATGGTAGTGAACAAAAGGAAGGGATACTGTATGTTGAATTTGTGAGATAGTCTGTATTTATGTCTCATTAAATTGTCTCATTAAATTTGTGTAAACATCAGTCATTAAAATCCTTTAATTTACTTGGTAACAAGAATTCCCCCCCTTTGGAAAAATGTCAAAGTTTTGCATTGAATTAGTTTCTGTAGTTTCTGAATTAGTTTATTTTCTTTCTAAAATAGGTTAGATGCATCCACAGTATCAGGAATTGAGATCAAAGCAGTATTGTGATCCTGAATTTGTTAGTGGGATATTGGGAATATGAGGTCAGTGATTTTATCTGTGTGTGTTAATTTTGCCTGCTGATTATGCAATGCTCCACACTGGCCACTGCAGGCAAACTTCTTTTTGCAGTATGCAGACTAATAAAATAACATTTAGAATCTCCCATCACAGGCCTGTGCCTTGACTAGTTGTGAAAATTATATGACAATTAAATAAAAAGTTTGTGGTTGTAATAATGTATAATGCAGTTTGGATGATGGAATTGCATTTTCGTAATTCTACTTGAGACTCATGCAACTTATTTGTTTTCCATGACAGATATGTTACTGTACACTTGCACAGTCTTTATCACAATTCCAACTAAATTTTAGTCAAGAGTTTGATAACACTTCACAACTTTGTTTTAAACTTTTTTCAGTTACTCAAAATATGAATGGTTGCAATGTAAGGTATGAGTGTATGACAATATTGTAAAATTAATTTGTTCATGAGTAATTGTTCTTAACTTTTCTATGACGGGAAAGTAGATGTTATTACTTCGCTTGTGTACTGATAAAGATGTTGCCTTCAGTCCATATAAAATCCAGCAAAGAGAAATCAGATCAGGCATGCTGGTCCTGAGACTGCCATCTGTTTGCAGCCTCCCTAGTGCTAGCATCACACATGACAACTGTGATTCTAGCTCTAGGATTCAACCCAAGCAATCCTTTAAAGCTCCTATATGTTAAATTCATAATTAAATCTGATATATACAGTAGGTTGGGATTTGTTGGCCAGCTGGGGGCTTCTCTTAGCCTTCCAACTAATACATGCAACTTCCCAAGTGCCTACAGATGTGGGTGATGTCACTGAGGGAAACATCACCCCTCCAGTTGGTGCCAGCTCTGCTGTCAGGTGCTGTAAAGCCTACAGTGTGTGAAGGCTTGATGGGTGTGGGGTTGGAGGAGGCTGTCTGTAATTTCTTGTTCTCCCCAAGCAGTGCAAGAGTTGTTGCTGTAAACATAATGCGAAAACATAGTGTAATGTTGACATAAAGAAGCAAATGCCATTTCCAAATTTGCAGCATTCAGTTTAGAATCACTGAAACAGCTTACACTTGAGAGGCATAAATTTAAAATATTTTGTACTCCAATTTAGCATCTTTAGTTGTCTTCCCTTTAACTCTGGTAATCATAGGTGTGCATGGATGGTGATGAACAGGAGTGTTTTACTGCGAAACAGGCACTGTTCAGCAGCATCCCTGTGTTAGCTAAAAGATATTGAGTTTGGATTTGTTTTTCCTCTTAAAACTGCCAAAAAGATAAATGTTAAGTGTAACAAATATGGTGTTTAAAGATGAAAACAGAAACACCTTTGGGTTTGTACGCGAAACCACATTTGATATTTTTCTTATCATTTTTACCTGCAGGGTGATCCGATTTCTAGTTAGACACGTGAAGTATTTCCTCGGACTGCGATTCAAGGTGAGCGGCTGGAAACACTTACAGACTGAAGGACCCTACGTCATAATATCCAATCATCAGAGCTCACTTGATGTCCTGGGTAGGTCTCTTTTTTTAATTTGCTTTATTCTAGATGTTTAAACGTGTTGTGAAGCCATGAGGCATGAGACATTAAAGTGGCATGTAAATGTTTGCTACAACCCTCTGCAGATGCTTGTGGTTAACTCTGCAATCCATTTATCATCATAGATGAGTTCTGTCTGTAAGTGCTCCCAGCCGTTCACCTTGAATTGCAATCATAAAACTGAGATCTTATATTGTGCCTAAACAGGCCTAAACAGGCAGGCTGAACTTATCTCTCCATAATTCCAAAGTTCACAGTGAGGCAGAACAGCATTAAACATTTTCCCTTAAATTTAAAGAAATTAACATGTACGTTGGAACTTACTCATTTTCTGATTTTAATGTTTAATTGCAGTGCAAGACAAAGAAGTTACTCTAATTGGCAGTTTTCTTTTCCTGTTAGCGATCATAATGAGCAGCTGATCAGTGTTTCTGATGTGATAGGTAGAGCTGTTGAAAATACTTTTTTTATTCACAGAAGAAAAGGTGTGACATTGGGGTATTTAAATTAAATGTTTAATAGACTGTGGAAACTGCCATTGTTTTTCATGTTTCAAATACTTTTGGAACATACTAGGAGCGTAGACTGTTCACAGTAAATGACAAGTAAATGACAATTTATCTGTCATATGCCTGAAAATGATATTTTTGATTCCGTGCATTATTGTCCAAAAAACATTAAATCGTTAGCTATGTATATTATGCTCAGAATCACAAAAATATCACCTCTGTCAAGTCTGAACAAGTTGTTATGTGTTTGGTTTAAAATTGTTGTCATATTCTTTGAGTGCACTGATTGAAGATACTTGTCATTCAAGAACAAAACACATTTATTCTCAGTGATCATAGACTTAAATATTTAATATAGACCAACTTTCAGTGCCTTAATAGATTCAACCTAAAAGCTTGTGTGCCATGGATTTACTATCTGTCATTTTGAGGGCAATAATGTGATGCACTTTCAACAGTTGTTTTGATTAATGGATAAATTTGTTGTAAAAGAGTGGGGTCCAACTCCCATTCTGTAGGGCCACAAGCCAGCAGGTTTGTAGGTTTCTGTTAATTAGCTGCAGATTAAGGGGTCAGAAAAGCAGTTCCTGTAGTCCCCAGGTAAACCAAATATTGGTTTAATTAGGTCATCAAGAGTTGAGGTGTAATGAAAACTTGCTGATACTTTGCCCTTCTAGGCCTGGAGGAGGGCACGCCCATCCCTTTTCTTAATTTTTACCATTTTATTTTATAACAGAAGACCTTATCATTAAAAAATCAAAGTAGAAATATATGCTCCTTAAACTAATGTCATGTATGATGATTTGGACTGTTGGATCTTCTTGATGGAAGTATCATGGAAATTCTTTGAAGATACAAAAGTTATCATTATAATATATAAACATATAAGCTTTACTTTTCAGAAGTCTGTTTTGACAGTCTTAACATCACCGTGTTTTTAAAAGTTACAAACAGTACAGCAAAGACTTCAATTATCACTTTGGTTTTATACCTCATGAGGTATAAAGGTTACACCCATTTTTAATTTGTAGTATCTGATGAAAAAAATTGTTTCATGCTTTCTTAACTAATTTAATGCTTTCAGTTGCCATTTCTTACACTACAAAAGCCTGGGGGCAGTAATATTTTTCCAGCTTTCTTTATTTGCATTCATATACAGATGGATGTTCTCTGCTTTATCTCTCTTCCTTTGAAATAATAAGAATTAATTACCCTTTTAGACTTATTATACTGTATGTACTTGTGTTCCAAGTCTGAATTTCAAAACTTACTGCCTCTATGTTGATTTAAATACTCTGCATTACTCTGAATAGCATTATGTACGACTGTGTTAAAAGTCAGATGGTAGAGACCATATAAACTTGTTTATATTACTGTTTGTTTTCTAGCATTAAAACTGCCATTTTACCATCATGACAGTAGAAGTCTGGATGTCTTCATTGACGTATTTGTTTATACAAACTGCTGATATCCAGTTACTGTTTCATTTCAGGAAAGAGATGCCATTGACACATTATGCATCAGGAAATGCCAGGTCATGACTAGATACATAAACATGAACAGGTTGACATTTGTAGAGCTGCGAGTTGATAACCAGAGTTCATTGGTCTCTACTATTTAGAAACTACTATGATTGGTATATACGTGAAGTGGAAGGACAGACACATAATACTGATAAGTAGTCAGATAATCACTTTGGGATTCTGCCCAGAGTTACCCTTATCTATCAAGGCCTCTCTGACAGCAGCACCTTGTGTGGAGGAGACTCAGCTGACCACACAGCATGTTGGACACTCCTTAAAGTTTCATTTGTTCAGCTTTCCAATGTTCCAAAGAAGGGCAGAAATTCCCTTGTGAAACCAGAAAATTAAAACTCCGACCTTGTGCTTTATTAATGGCTCTGGTGAAGCTGGCTTCAAGGGATGTGTGAATTTCATGTCATGGCAAAATAACACAGCTTCTTGATTCTATAAAAAGAAAAGAAATATTTAATTGGTATTGTTTGTTTTTTTTTCGACCCACTGATAACTGTTTCATTTCTACAACAAATTGTAGACGAGCCAGCTTTAAAGTACTGGTCACCACTGTGTCTCCCCATTCTTGGCCATGATACCAGTATAGTTATGTCACGGCTTGGAACACAAGATGGCAGTTGCTCATATTCGGGGTAAACAACCCACTGAAACAGGTTCAGTTAACATGGAAATTACATTTACATTAAAATTATTAATTATTATTAAAATAATAACTCCTGCTTCCTTCACTTAAAATGTACCTGCTTTCACAATGTGACACTTCCTTAAAACTCACTTTTGTGAAACCTGAAACAGTAACACACCATGATATTGCACAAGATATAACTGAATGCAACATATTGGATTTATAATTCATGCAATACAAGAAATCATGTGGAGGTGTCTCTGCTATACATTTATTTTTGGAATTTGCAAACCTATCCAAAAGGAATTAATGATATAAGATGTATAAAGCATTTTTCAGAGTGTAAGTTTATCTACACTTAATTGTTTGCAGCGAATGAGTAATGTACAACGGAACTGAAAATAGTGTGGTTTATAGTCAGGACCATTAATGCAATGTTGGTATTATGTTTTTTTTCCTTTGAGAACCAAAACAGATTTTATAAGGAGTGTTTAATAACCAAAAACTGTTCTGTTCATCAGTTTTGCTTCTAGTGCATCAACTCAAATTATTTAAAATGCAAACACAAAACCTGTACATTGAAATAGTATAGTATCAATAAGCAATATAGGCTTAATGGCTTAACCTTTGTTTGTTAGATGATTAATAAAGACAAAACAATTAACATCAAACAATCAGCTTTTGGCTATGGGATGATTTTTAAATATGGCATTGATTTTAAAATGAAAAATGCTGAACCTCTCAGCTCTTTGAACTGAAATTTGAAGGAAGCACACAAGGGCTTGTTGATTTCAACTTAATTCCTGTCTACATTAGAAATACTGGCACAAATGAATATTGTATACCGACATAGTTTCAAGCCCAATTTTAGTAAGGCTTCATTCTTAGGCTCATGCCTCTGCCTAAAATAGAATGAGGAACGCAACGCAGACATGCACATCATACACACCCAGCTGCAGAGCCACTCGCCATTTCGCACAGTGTAAGCTTCCCAGCACTTGACAGGAGAGGTTGCAGTGACTGGAGGAATGGTGCACCACTTACTGATGTCACGGTAAGCCTGCAGGTGCCTGACAAATGGCAGGAGCCACTTGTGCAAAGATGAGACAGTCCTGTTTGACCTATACCAACCCTTCTCCCTAGCTCTACCAGTTGTTCACTACTGTGTGGCAATCCCAGTTGCAGTTGTCCAGAGGCTTGAACTTGTAACTGAACTGAATCATAGAGCAAAGCCCCTCTGAACAGGGTGAGGCGCTCTAAAGCTCCAGCTGAATCTTTCAAATTCAATCTTACACCATTTTTGGCTGGGTTACATTTAAGTGAGATTAATAGGTGAGATAAAGATTTTTGGTGACGATTTTACATTAGAGAGCTTTCTGGATCAGTTCGTACAAAATCGTACTGGTTACATTTTGTGTATTTATTTGTTATAATTGTTTAATAGAATTGCATTGTTTAATAGAATTATCTCTAAATTGTTAATGATGTCTTCATGCATCCAGAGTCTTCAAAAGTGTTGACTTTCACAAATATTGATATGCTTTTTAAAGAAAATCCGCAAACACTTCTTGCAATTTTTACAAAGCCTTTTTTAATAAATGGCAGTTTTTTGTTCTCATGAATTAACTTTACCAAAAAAAAAAAAAAGACGCAGCTGTTATGTGAAACAAACTATTTGTCACATCTGTGTCTGTACCCCACTGAGCTGCCTGATGCGTTAGATTACAGATAATCAAGGCTGATTGTTTGTGCAGACCAATGGGGAAAGCTCAGTAAACAATGAGAGCTTAACAGAGGGTGAACTCTCCCGCCTCAGGGTGCTGTACATCGCAGCTGCATTGTCTGGAAGAAAACCAGAAGCTTTATCTAAGGAAGACAAGCAACATCATGTAATGTGCACACTGTTGCCACAGCTTCCTGTGACTCAGCCTTAGGAAAGTCAGCACAGCAGTGTGTTGTAGAGCTTTGCTATTTATTCAGGCACTCTAATCTGCTCATCCAAGCTTCAACTAAATGATGGATTTAAAAAACAGTTTGTCTGAAAGATTTGAACTGATGTGAATCAAGCTGTGATTCTCCAATGAGGGTAACTACTATGTTTTCCTTAACTAAAATGTTCGAATTTGAATCTGAGAAAAAAAATTACCCCGCATATGCTTTGATATAGTGCGAGGCATTTTATAACTTGATTTTATTAAGCCAAACAGTTTATTTGAATACATGTGGTCAGACCGTAACTTTTTTGTGCCGCAGTCCGAGATATCAGATAACAGTACAAAACCAACTGGGCTTATCATTCTTTGAAACTTGAGTATTAACTTAAACTAGCATGGTTGTTGCTATGACAGTTTAAGACGGAGAATATTCCATCTCTTTTGGTTGATTTTTCCTATAAATGTTTCCTAAATCTCTGCAGGTCTTGTTAATTCAGGCCTGGTAGATACTTGGAAACAAGTTAAGTAATGGTGACGGACTCAACAAAACACAATGCCGGAAGATACAAAAATCTAAATAGATATAAAGATATTTTAAATAAAAATGTGTAGATATTAAAAAAATCAGAAAAAGATATCTGTCTGTAATGGACCTCTACCTAAGCTAGCGATTCGTTTTTTCAAGAAGGATTGTGTATTACAATTTTAAATTGTAAAATTTGAGACTACTCTGAAACCAAGCAGTGTAAAAGGTTTTTAAATCATAGTGCATAAACCACCATTAGCTATCATCCCAAATAGCACCTCTGAGTTTAATTAAAATTAGAACAGGCATTTCACAAGAGAGAATCTTTCAACACTTTGAAATGAGGTCACTTTTGTGATCCTGGTGCTTTCTGATTTCTGTAGAATTTTCCTGTAGAATGGTCTGTAGAAAAATTTTAGATTTCTATTTCAGACAGGAAAAAAAAAAGATCAGAAGGATCTGCTTTTTTAAAAAAGATGTAGATGCTGTTTCCTTTTCTATGCCTAAGAAAAACCATTAGTGTGCTCTGATAAACTGAGCACACCTGATGTATGTGCTTATATGCTTTAGCCAGTGTGGAAGGCTTTTTTATGTTTTTATTTAATTGGTGGTTTTTTTTTTTACCAGCAGCATACAGCTGTTATCGTAAAGAAGCTAACTTCCTCAAACCTTTACTTTTCATGTCCCTGGTACAGTCATTTTCAGAAAAAAAATCACTATAGGTAGAAGTGGTAGTTTAGAGCCAATAATGGGTCTATGATTGAATCCATGAAAATCCATGTAGCTTTTCTGTGCATCTTTTATGGAAAAAAAACATTTGCCTTTTTTATTAACACCATCCCATCTCTTGGAACTTTTGTTAAAAAAACATCTAACAATACGCAGAATGAAAATAACAAATTAGAAATTTTATAATGTTAGGTGAATGTTTGACTATGCCATATAGTCATATAGACTATGACATGAAGCCATCTGGAACAGTTGTTCAAATATATTAATATTTTACAGGAACACTGCATTAACCTTATGCTATTTCTGTCTCACTCAATATACACTAGTAGTGAATGAAGAACAAAAGGATGCACAAAAGTATTTTTTTAAAAACTGGAAGCCTTCTTCCTAAAGAATGTTTTGGTATTACAAACAAAATACAAGAGAGAGAAAATGAACTCACTGGGGGAAAAACACTTTTATCATGCTTATAATAAATGTTTAACAACCTTTGATCTGAGATTGCAAAAGAATTACCAGATGTTCGGACATTAGTATGCACATGAGGGAATGGAAAAGCAAATCATACCGTTGATGTATAATTTGAATTTGGCACTGCAGGGTAAAGAAAGAAAATACACGTTCGTATAGCCATACACATTTTTATCTATGATGAATCTATTTATAGTTTTATTTATTGAATTCGGTTAAGTGAGTTGTAAATTCCTTACTAATCTCCTTCTTCTTTTAAGATAAAATAAATTCCCAAAAATGTGCGAAGTGTGACGAGGTGCAGACTGGACTTGCACAGTGCCCTGCACCCCATTTGTGAAATTCTGTTAATAAAGTGCAGTATTTCTGTCCCTACCCCTACTTTTTTTTTCCTGTGACAGGCCTTTTCCTAAAGAGTTTTTGCTGAACAAAAAAAAGATTTAATTTAGGGTATCAAGTGAAACGGACAGTTTTCAAAGACTGTGCACACTGAAATAGTGGCCACTGCAAAATGAAGAGCAAAAGAAATGCTAAATTATATCATTTAAGATAAATGATAGGTATTTTAGTAACCCCTCTCCACTAATGGATGTTTCACTAGTATGTATGCCAAGCTAATAGTACAGAAGCCCAATATAATTTTTGACTGTCATGACAACCCCTTGCACACTGAATTTGAGCATCAGTTTAGGTTGCCTAGATTAAAGAGCAATAGAACGAATTGATCTTTTCTTCCCATAGCTATTAAACTGCTTAATTTGGACAGTTGATTGTATATTTTACTTCATTTATATATTTTTTCTTTCTCCTCATAAATGTATGTCTCTTATTTTTAAATGCATTCATGTTGTGTTAATTGTATTGTGTAATGTGTTATCTCTTTTACCTGCCTGAAAAGCAAATTTCCCATCTGGGACAATAAAGTGAATTAAGTTTACTGACTGTTTTAAGGAATGATGGAGATTCTTCCTGACCGCTGCACCATGATAGCCAAGAAGGAGCTGGTGTATGCAGGCACTGTGGGTCTAGTGAGCTGGCTTGGTGGGATTGTCTTCATAAACCGAAAGAAGACCAGTGATGCCAAGAGTGTAATGACAGATGCTGCAAAAACTATGCTGCAAGACCAGGTACTGTAACTTCAGTTTTCCATTAATCTGCCTACGCCCCAGGTCTTTTGCCAACCTGTACATCACATCCTGCTCTTTAAAACACTCTGAATCAAGCATCTTTAAAATATTTTCTTAATACTTGAAGAAAACTACATCAAATTGCTATATAATCCAGCTATCCTGCTATCCTGGTTACAGAGCACAGCATTTGATTGTGCATCTCAAATAATGAATGCAGTTAATGACGCTACTTTTCCCATGTAATTACTTTGCAAATACAGTCATCATTTAAATGTCTTTTCTTCCCCACTGCTGCCTGTATAAATCATTGTATTAGTATGTTTTTTCCTTTTGGCACATGCTTAATTATTCCTCTCTTTCTATGATATTTCTGATATTATACATGAATTTGAATGGCTATCTTATGAGATTCCACATTCCACATGTATGCTCCTACAAACCTCTGAAACAGCTTTTTTCTGAAGTGACTTACATTTGTGTTCTTTATACAATAGGTTATTTTAACGGGAACAGTTCAAGAGACGTACTATACCTTGCTCAAGGATAAAACAGTACTGTCCCACCTGGAATTTTAACACACACCATCCAATGAAGAGTCCAGAGCCCTGATGCTCCACACTGCTCTGATCAGCATTCCATGTTTTGGGGGGCATGGGATGCTCTGTTCTGTAACTGCTGTCTGGGCTCTCCTACAGATTCGTCTCTGGGTTTTCCCCGAGGGCACACGGAACCAGAAGGGAGACCTTTTGCCCTTCAAGAAGGGAGCTTTCCACCTGGCATTACAGGCACAGGTATGTTCTTGCAGTCCTGGACTGTTTCTTCACAGATCCTATTGGTAGAGGCAGGACAAGCTGTGATATCAGATAGGCTCTGAAGGAGAATGCAAACAGGCATAAATAAGGAGTGGGATATAATGCATGTGAAACAAATATGTTGTGTATGCTTCTATGAAGGAGATATGTGCCATAATGGATAACAGTCTGCCTATTTAGTACTTCTGTGACCTGAAACAATCCCCCTGTACCTTATTATGTTGTTTTTTTTCATGTCAAAAATAATTATCACATGGGTGAGCGATGACGGAAGCAAAGGTTATGGTTTGCAAGGCTTATGAAATCTGCTCACTGAATACAGATTAGAATGTCACTGGGTGAGAATCTGTTTTGTATCTGCCTTCTTTTTATTGGTAAAATAATAGGAAAAATAATAATCCTTCAGATTTATATTACCTGTCGGACTATGGAATATTGAGTACTCAGATCAGAAGCCCTTATCCCCACATTGAGACGATGCTAGTATTCCAGTAATGGTTCATGATAGTGCATGTGGGTGTGTGCTTAGAGAAAGAATGCCATTCTCTTGTGGGGAAAGATGAGCTAAAACCTTCAATTTGAAAAACATAATTGTGCCTCTGGGGGAGGAACATTTCAAATTACAGTTTGGTTCTCGTGTGGTATCACCATTAGAGCTTAGTTTTTTTACGTGCTCTCTGATAACACATTTAGTCTTGTGGTCTTTATGAAAGGATTCATGATACAACTGTATTGTTCTTAAAAAACGTATTTCCACTTTCCCACTCTGCATTCCACTAATTACAGTGGTCAACTAAGATGCATATTTCCCATGGGCAATTACAGCAGATAGCTGACAGTTGTGAGGAATTTGTCAATGTTATTGTACCAATCACTTGCAGACCTTTACACCAATTTGTCCTCTCTTTATGCTCTTGAGAAACTAATTTGAATTCAGACTGTAGGTGGCGCTATTGTTCTGTCAGCAATACATAGGTCATAAACTAAATGTGGAAAACAAGTACATTTATGCAGTACTTTTTCATGTCCTGAGCTTACTTTCAAGAAGGTAAAGGTGTATTCAGGCTTGTTTTTTTAATGCTTTATTCAGTCCTATATAAAAACTGCGTCGGGGAAAGATGTAGGATACTTCTATAAGATGAATAACAACATTTTTCTCTGACGTGGAAAGCACAAAAAACTGTTTTAGAATGCACCTAAAGTCTTTGTGTTTGACATTGTCTAAAAGCCCAATGCACTGTGGCCCTGAGGAATTGTGTTGGCAGAGTCTGTTCTGGAACATCTGAAGCACATTCCACTGCAGTGATGTGGTAGTCTTTTCAATCAAGGAGCAAGACCCATGGGGGGTCATTCTCTATAAAAAATGAAGAGGAATGAAACCTTTATTCTTTCATGATCAGCATTCTTATCAGAGCGTGCATCTCTGTTGATTACTTGTTAAAATAATTTAGCGTATTAAAAATATCATATGAGTGGGAAAACAAAGTACTGTTGCTTCATGTGCTGCATGTTCTAGTGCCAGGTCTGCTTGGATACATTTTCTACCATCGCTCATTCATACATCTAATTGCAGTACTTTCACAGCATTTTTAAAATGCTAATTTAGAACTACACCCAGTTTGCAGCCAGGCTTTGTCTGATTTAAATTGCTATAGTGTCCTTTATGGGATTTGGTAACTGAGTTGGCTTTAAGCATTAAGAGCTGGGCTATTTTCCTGCCTTCCCTTCCAAGTAAAAGTGAGATTCTGGTGAAAGCATCAGTGTTGAGTCTGCAAAGAGCATTTTCTTAATGCTATGTTGAAGATGGTTGCAGCAGTAACTGTCTGGTTTGGGTTTAGGAAGACTGAGCACATTATTACAGTGCAAAACAAGACTGGGGACAAAACAGTTCTGTTGGAGATCTGCATAACTTGAAGCTGTGCTTTTTTAGAATGAGCAGAAGTGACTTAAATAAACATGGCTAAGTTGGAGGGAAATGCGGAAGTGGAAAAGGGGACACATCTGGTGGTATATGGGTGAGAGGACCTGCAACTCATACCTTTCAAGGTTTTCACAAATGAATACAGGTGTGCACACCCCTGTTTGAATACCTGAGACATTTGCACACACAAAGTAAATAAGAAAGAGGGAAAGAATGATGTGGGACTTGTTTGAGTGGCATTGTATTTTGTATTTATCATTACTTATAATGGAAATATATTTATTAATTTATTTCACTGAGATCTACTACTGACGTACAATAGATTTTTAAAGATCAGTAGTAAAGAAATAAATACCTGGACTTCTCTTTAGTCTAAGGGAAAGATTCCTTTAATGTTTAAGCTATCAGAAAACAAAATAAATCCATATTTAACTGTATTTCACGTTTAATTAGCCTGCTAACCTGTGCTTGGGTCTGTTTTTTATGCAATAATAACAAATGTTCTGTAAGGTTGCTTTAATTTAAAAAATGAATGGGAGAAACTTTTTTATTACCGTGTACATCATATCAAGTAGAAGGATTTTGCATACACTTAATTTTATATTTTGGGTCTTTATTTAAAAAAACAAGGAAAACTCTGGAAAAAAACCTGAATTTCCACAGGCGTGAATCATCAAAATACAGAACCCCCATTAACTCAAAGCTAAATGTTACAGGAACTTTTTGATGTGTATATTAATGACTGAGGTCTGTACACTGCATTTGGGGCTCCAATGTCTTTAGGCAGTTCATGTGCTTCTGAAATGATTAAACCTCTGTTGTGTTTCCATTATCTCAAAATGGAAGGAAGGGGAGGAGCAGTCTACTTGCAGCATTCTGCAAAGCTCAAGTTCATTAGTCTGAGCATGTGGTGACCTCAGGGCTTGGGAACTGGCTGAGAAACTAATGTACAGTTACAGTGCTGTTCCACCAGTAGATCCCTGCGAATCCTGCTGCTTATATAAGGGAGTCTTCATATGGTGCCAAGACTAATGGGAACACATCACAATGGGGCTAAATTTAACAACATGCTTTAGGGATTTTTTTAATTCATGTGCATGCAATTGCTCAGCATCTGTCCTTGTCCTTATGGCAACTATTTTTGTTCCGGACGGGATGTGTTCTGTTAAACTTGGGAAGGTTTTATTATTAGAATGGCTATCTAAAATGTGTCCTTATAAAGAGGTTTTTCAATGTTGAAGTAGGGTTGTTTACCTTGTGTCTAGTCTGTAGTACAGTATATCTCTAGCTTTTGTTTTGTAAAGCAGCTGGTGTGAAAATTGAAATGCAACAACTACCCCCATTCATTTAAGGAAGTTAAACTTAGCCTTTAAAAATTTCTGCATCTTATTTTATCTTATCTTCTTTGCAGGCTCCAATTATTCCAGTTGTGTTTTCCTCCTACAGCAACTTCTACTTGCGAAAAGAAAAGCAGTTTAAATCTGGTATGAATACTTCTCTTTTGTTTTAATTATGTTTAACCCCTGAAATTGGAATATTGAATAGGGTAGGATTGGGGTCTGTATAGTTACAGAGATCGAACAGAAGAAGCTGTTCATCTGAAAGCATAGGGGAGATTTGCATTATTACAAGAGGAAAGTATTCAGAAAAATTAAATTGCTAAAATAAAGTAGTATCAGGCATTAATTTCATTTCATAGGGAAGAACAACATTCAAGTATCAGATGCTTTGTAACAATTTAAGATTATAAGGAATGGAATTAACCAAAGGGCAGCTTTAGTTGTGGAGATAGGCTAGGCTAGATAGGCTAGGCGGGATGCCTGAAACAAAATGTATAGAAGATATATTTGTGTATTTATATAAATAGTGAATATTTGTAGTGATAAAGATTTAAAACGGCTGGGTGGAACTGGCTTGTTTGTCATCATCCCACCCAGACTTGAATTAAGCACTTCCATTTAAAGATCTCAAGTTCTGAATCGGTCTTAGGGTTTGGTTACTTATAACCCTCAACCAGTTTACATCTGGCTGTCTAGTTTTCTTTAGTGTTTACCATGATAAAAATTAACTCTGAAACAATATTTTATCTAAAAGGTAACTGGTTTAATTCCATAAACCATTTTGGTTTGTGTTTTTGGATTCAAAGTTACCAAAGAAGCATGCAGAGAAAATCTGAAGTTACTTCCCATGGGTGTGGATCTGTGGCATCGGAGACTTCTCAGTTGTTTCACATGGCAATGGGATAATTTTATTAACAGTTTGGGATTTCCCATAGTTTTTTTTTTCAGTTCAAGAAACTTTGCCCTGTAATGCAATCTGTGGTTATCATGGCTTACTCAGGTCTTATACCAAGTGTTTTTATTGGCAGCTGATGAGACTGCCAACAGAACATCCGGCTCCACAGTTTTGCCTCTTCTTTCCTGTTCTGCGTTTGGCATTGGCATCAAATTGTATTAACTCGGTTACTTGACTGGTGCTTTTATTCAAAGCATATTGCCTTTTTTCTTTTTGTATTTATTTATACAAATGGGCTTGCTGCAAAAATTTGGATAGAGGATCTTAATCAAGGGTCCAGCAATAGTAATCCACCCAGGATTTTAGCACTGTCTCCAGATGGGGGTCCAGATCCCTAGCCTTTGCTCCAAACTACAGTCTTATTGGATTTGTATACTTGGCTCCATTCTTCCTGAGATCTTAAGCTTGTGAATGTGTGAACACCAGTAAGGAGTCTGTAAGATTGACCGTGGGGGATATTCAATGCAGGGTGTTTGCTTCTGTTTCTCCTAGGGACGATCACCCTCAAAATCCTCCCGAAAATTGAAACAAAGGGTATGACGACAGACGACGTGTCGGCTCTGTCGAACAAATGCTACGAGATCATGCGTTCCGCTTTCATGGAGATATCGGGACAAGACAGCCAAGCCAATGGGCCATCGGGTCACTGAACATTTCCCCCAGCATACATTTGACGCTTCCTGGGCACAGAGCCATGCAGTGGGACCTCTGCCGATAAAAACAAATAACTACACTTGCTCATGTTTCACCTGTTGTGGCATGCTAGCGATACAAGCATGTTATGGGTTCTTTCATTGGCGTTAAAAGAAAAGGGAAGTAGGGGGGAGGGGGTTGAAAAGGTTAGGGGTTGACTGTAGGAGTTTGAAGTATTGTTCAAATTCCTCTCGAGCCACTGACTTGCTCTGTAAGCCTATCGACTATCGGAAGCACCCATCCATGCTTCCGTCTGCCACATCCAAAACCCCAGAGGGATTTGATACCGATCAGGGTAACATGGACTGTAATCTGGCTGATCAGACTGTACCACGTGCAGTCATGCATGCAAGCAGTGGGTCACTCGATCTAAGTTATTGTTTTCTCTTTATTAATCAGTCTGCTTTCCCCCCAAGTTTCATGTCCTAGCCAATTCTGATCCACGTCATTTCCAAATGGAATATGGTATATCAGTGGATTATTTCTTGCTTTCACCCTCCTGTTCCAGTCCTCCCTTTGTCCCCATCCACTTCTGAAATACATTCCAGTTCTTATTCCTGTGCAGGAGGAGAGGAAGATTAAAATTTAAACTGCACATATCCCTGTGATGTGTTCTCAAGCTTTTGTCCAACAACAAATTCCAACAAGAAAAAAATGACAGATTTAGTAAGACACTGTGCAAAGCACGTGTTACATGCTACTGATATTTCAAAAGCCTAATAAGATACTACATGTAACCAAAACAAGTGTTCCAAGTTGAATACTTCCAGATTTATTTTTATGTATTTTTTTCTCTCCCTTTGAAGAACCTTCTCAGTCAAGCTGTATAAAAGTGTCAAAAGGTCAATCCAAACAGTGAAATGTCCAAATGTTACTTATCCAAAATGCAGTTTTCATTTTGTGCCACATGAAATCTCTAGATGTAGAAGTGTCAGGTGATTTGAAAAGGACTACTGGAATTACCTCGTGGTACTTAGTTTTGAACTGGTTTGAAAGGTTGAAAAAAATGCATGTTAGGTTAAGATGCAACAACAAAAATATCTTGCTCAGTTGAAATCCCAGTTTGGGGCATGTCAGCAGTGTTGGTGGGACTAATTTAACTATTTTATTAGTTCGTTATTGAAACGTTTATTGGATGACTCTGGACGTCATTCAGTTTTTTTTTTAATTTCCAGGATTTGAGTGGATTGGCAGAAGTTTCAGAATGTGTCATGTGCCATTTCCACTCCCCCCTGGTTGCTGCAAATAAATTGGAGTTGTAGTTGATTAGTTGATTATTGATGAGGAATGGGCAACCAAAGAAACAACATGATGCTACATCCTGTCCAAGTGCATAAAACCCTGTTAGATCTCCCTGAAAAGGAGTGATGCATAGGATGCAACTAAATTATCAGGCCTTTGTTCCAGATAGCTAATATGACAATTAGTTAACTCACTTTCTTTGTATTTCAAAGTACATATACTGTAGTGAATATCATAACACCTAACATTACAAGGAAGAGTTCTCTCTCTTAACAACACTAAAGTTATTTTTTGAGAGAATACAGTAGAGCTATTGAAGCTGCTTTGTGCTATCAAGGCCAGATGGGAGAGGGACAGACTACAGTGTGGAGAATGATACTTTTTATTCTAATACCGATGCTGTTAAAAAAAGAAAATTAATTGTTACAGCAGTTCACATATTAAGATTTTTATTTATATCAAAAGGTTAAAAAAAATCAAAAGAGGAAAACTATTCGAAAGGGAAAAACAAACCTGTCACTTGAAAACATCTCCATGTTAGCTTTTCTATAGAATGATCTAATTCTGTAAGTGTCCTTCCACAAAAAAGAATAAATCACCCTGTACTACACACATTGGTAGTTACTGTGGAGAATATTCTAACAATTATGTTGATTCAGCTGTGCTTTGCAGTTATGTATCAAAATTCTTTGTGCTGGATGGAAATGTTTGGTATGGAAAAGTTTCAAATAAACTGGTGTTTTTGGTGAACATAGTAAAACATTTGAATTGATGGGATCTGTATCTGGGATAGTGATCTCGATGAACTGCTTGTACTTTAATTTGCAGAATTGAATGATGTCTTGGGAGGCTGATTATTTCAAGTAAAATACATGGCAGGGTTTTCTTTATTGAAGAAAAAACATTTCAAGTTAATGCAAGTTAACTTTTTAGTATTCGTTTTATTTATAGAGCTTTGCAGTAACCCTCCTGAAACATTTCTTCATGTACATTACTGCATTAACATATTTCAGTTAGATAATGTAGCTTAGACTGCACTTAAATGACAAATAATCCTCCACTGTGACAACTCATTTGGACATGGGGATCAGGGTTTTGGAAAAGATCAGTTCCAATGCCAATGATTTGTGAGATACAGTTTGAATTGGGAACTGTGCAATACTAAAGGCATAGTCTTTGTATTGCAATATAAGTTTTGGCACGTTAATTAGCATGAAGTACATTTTCAGTTTCGGAGCACAAAGCTAGAGGTGCTTGGAACTGACAGTACTGTATCAATAGTCCATGGTCCCTTGGACTTGTGAGGAAATCGAGCAAAGCTTTTGAAAGCAGTTTTTGCTCTTATGACGCCTGCTGGGAGCTTGCTAGTAATGCAGCCTCCCTCAGCACACCGATAAAAAAAAAAATGAGTTTTTTTCTGGCTGGTGACTGCTTTTGTTGTCCATTTTCAACAAAACGGTTTTTGTTTGCAGAATATGTTAAAGGAGGCACTTATTCTAGTATTTGACTATGGTTGGTAAAGAGAAAAAGAATGTTATTTTGAAAATATGTTGTTTGCAAAGTATCCTACAAGTTCACCAAAGCTATTTAAAATGTAGGCTTTGTGGTAGCTTTAGAAAATGCTGAGAGTATCTGTATTGAAAATACAGTGGAATATGTGCTTGTGTGTACGTGTATATATAGATCTGTGTATATACATACACGTGTATATGTTTATACATACACATGCATAAACTCTTGTTGTAATATCTCATTATGTTCAACATAATGGTGTTGTTTTCACAGAATCTGGCTAAACCTGTTTAAAAATGCCTTGAAAAATAAATTTCATTTTTCCTATGGGAAGTCCTCTTTCTGTAGTATTTTTTTTTCAGTTTTCTAATGTCTTGTCTTAATTACTAAGTGTTAAATTAATGTCAAAAGTGAACCAGTTTTGATAAAGTACCAATACCAACACAGTGATTGGAGAAAAAATAAAAAGCAAATTTTCAATACTAATGCAGTGAAAAAAAATTTTTTTTTTAGGGAACAAGGGACGGTGGCTTCTTCCTGTAAACATATTTTATTATAAAAAAGACAGTAGCAATACATGTATCTCATATCTACACAAGCACATGAAATTATAACTTAAAAACATAAATACAAAACTTCCAAGTGAGAGCTGTAGCCAGTGCTTAGGATAGACAGTGGAGGACCTTGAAGCAACAGATCAGTAAAGTGAATCTGAAATAGCAGAAAATGAAATTAAACTCAGATTTATGTTGAAATTAAATTGAATAAGAAATGTATTGTGCCACTGGAGGATTATTTAAAGATTTGTTTTAATATCATGTCTTAAAAGGATGGAAGCATTCTCCTTAGACACACCTAGTGCTTTTTTCACTTTTCAATATGAACATAATTAGTTATTTGAATCTTCCCTCGGAGTGAATCAGGAAAGATCAAACAAGTGAGAAATATGTTCTTTGATCTGAAAGCCTATTGATATTCTCTTCTGCAGTCAAACATAATCCAAAAGAGGAAATTGCATGTTTGGTTTTTGAGCCTTTTGCATTTTCCCCATTATCTGTTGTCCCTGCAGGAACCTAAAATCAAAAAGAAAAGAATAGCTATTAATAAATCAGATCTTTGAGAATTGTTTAAATGTCATTTATAATTAAGATGCACTTTGTACATCATATTACATCAGGTTCTGGGCCTTTGCTTTGTTTTTTTACCACCATTTTCACTTTCAAGTTTTTTTTATTCCAGGTATAAAATCCGCCTACAGTAAAAAATAAGAGGAAAGCTCTATATCGCATTTGTACTTGTCCACAATCCATGTATTTTGTATAAATGTAATCCATATATGTTGTTGTATCCTTGCTGCTAGCAAACCTTTAATCCTGGCTAGTCCATAATATCATCTCAAATACTGTAACACAGACCATACAAAAGATATTGTTTTGTATTTGCACATTTGTCCAGAATTAGGGCTGTTATTTTTTTATATGTCATTTTCAGTGTTTCTTAAAACTATCCATCCTAAGACTATAATTTGTGGTGTACTGAGATGATTAAGAATCTTGTTTAATAAAAGCCTGTTTCTGAGTTATGCAACTGTTTTAACCTTTGCTGTTCACATTCAAAGGATAGTATATCCTTTGGTGTGGATGCCAATATGCTTCTCTTGCCACAGGCCATTGATCATAGTTTTGAAGGCTAATACACACAGAAGACAAGATGGTTAAAGATAACCTTTTCTATGTCGAATGTGGATGATTCTAAAACACACTTTCCCTATCTTACATTTTTCTTTACCTCCTGGCTTGAAGGCTGAAAAAGGATTCAGTCTTATATTATTAAACTATTATACTGCAGCCAGCTTAATACAGACCAAAGGAAATTGTAAGATGCAATATACATCACCCTTACATTGTTAAAGGTGACACTGAGGTTAGGAAGAACTATAAATTAACTTTTATTGGGTTCAAACTGGCAAGCATGTGGAACAACAGACATTATACAGTATAATCCCAAAGTTCTTCCATCATTTGTGGTGTCACCCTCTCTATCCATTGTGTCTGCTGCTGCACCAGCTGCCTCCAGATCCCATGGCCTTTTCTTCCCAGCCGTGTTAATTCACCTTTTTAATGGGACAGGTCTATTTCACATCCCCTCCTCCTTTCACACTCACACACACACACACTTTATTTGCTCGTTTTCCCCAACCACCAGACTGATGACCCTTCAAGGATGTGAAGGATGCGAGAGCGGAGGGCTCCATATTACGAGAAGAAATTAATCTTTTTTCTTCTTTATAAACAAGCTAAGAGGAAACTTGAGCAAGATTGCCATACAGGTAAAATGGAGAAGGTGCCACCTGTCGCCTTTTTCATGACTTTTTACTGCTGCTTTGGCAAACAGTGACTTCATAAATTACACTACAGTTGAAAATGTATTTCCTGAATCAAAGCCTTCTAGTGTTGGTTCATATTCAACACATATTATTTTTTTTATTTCATGGCTGTTGCCTCTCAATGGAAATTTTAATGGGTAAACTATATTTAATAGTGAAACAATTACTGTAGGTCAAATGAGCTTGGGATGAAAAAGAAATACCACAACAATTGCTAACTTGGTCCAAAATGCTGCTAAGAATGGCATAATTTTTTTTAGAAAACAAACATGCTGTGGTGTCAGTTAAAAAGGCAGCCAGTGTAATCATTGTGCATTATACAATAAATGGCTTAGCTGTTTATTATCTTAGTCTGTTTTTTAAATGAGGAGTCCTAATGTCAACTATAAAATAACTGAAGATAATTTTTTCATTGTGACAAAATGCTACAATATCATAAATCTAAATGTTGACTTTAGTATAAAATTAGATACATTTGCAATGCAAAGCAATACATAAACCTCATCCACAAAGCTATGGGAAGTGCCATTTTCCCAGCCAAAGCCTGTCTGCAAGTTAATTTCCTCTAAAGCCACAGGGACGAGCCACAGCGGATCGCGACGGGCTGCACTGCCGCCACGCCGGTTACTCACAGGTCTCCAGCCTCTCCTCCAGGAAGCCGATCTGCTCGCTGAGGGAGTCGATTCGGTCCAGCTGCTGAAACGAGTGAGACAGGAAGCTGGCCCTCTCAGCCACCCCGTCCTCTGGCATGAGGGAGAACAGGCTGTTGAAGGGGGCGAGAGCCAGCTGCAGTTTCTGCCATTGCCCACCAAAACAAGACGAGAGAGGTACAAACTCAGTGAAACATTTCTCACTCCTAGATCCACAATCCAAAATGAGAAGCTAGAACACTTCCACTGTGCAATCAGTCCCTGGGTCATATCTCAGGAGCAGTGAATAAGAAGCACAGCTTGGTAGCCGTTCTTCATGTACTGTGTCTGGACACAAATCAGTTTACACAACTAAATCCTGTGATGCAACACATTAACTTCAATATTTTTTTTGTGTAAGATGTGGACATGCATGTTATGCATGCTTTAGGTTATCAGCTAATAAATATACCTGCACATGCACCCTGCAAACAACTTTTCTTCTCATTAATGATTAAAAATGTTATTGACAAGGCTAATCAATTATCAATTATTTGTCTGCAGGGTGTTTTATTCTATATGTTTGGCACGACTGGCATATTTTAATAAGCTTAGCAAAGAGGAATCCCCACTGACTGAACAATTACAATGTTCAGTCAGTAAGGAACATAGATGCAAAACCTTAATTTCTGATGGTGCCAATGATATGTGTGACTAATGCTGTTTGCAGGAAAATCCTACCTGTTCCAACATTTCAACCCTTGTCCTCAAATTCTGTACCTCTTCAGTCATTTTATTTGAATGTCCAGCTTCTTCATCTGAAAAACAGTCCAGTACATCAGTCACAATGTTAAGACAGAAATTTCTTCTTCATGCTGTATTTCTGGTCTGAAAACTTTACTGTACAAAGCCTGATTATCTTTTTCCATTTGCTCACAGTATGTGAAGCACAGAATTCAAAACGTGGATGTTGAAGAAATGACAAAAGGAGCTGGGGAATTTAGGAATTTGCTAAGGGTCACACTGGAAGTTCTGTCTGTTGATGGCCAAGATGTATAGAAAACACTACCAAAATAAAACCAGTTCTAAAATGTCTACAAGACTATTTTTTAAAAACTGCATGCGACATACACAAACCCATTGTAACATATGGTTCCTGGCTTTTCCACAAATGCCACCAGGCATTATTCTGAGCATTTCATTTTTAGAGCAATTATTGGTCACATTAAACATTCTTAAACCAGTCACATAAATCTGGCTGCCTCCAATGGACCGATGTCTACCAGATGTTTGCTGTTAGTGAGATTTTGGAGAAGGGTGGGTGACCTCAAGCAAATGGGGTCATTAGAAGTGCATAGCTGGCATGTGAACATCAGCTCTGTGCCAAGTTAAAACCTTGAGCTCAAGAGAGGTATAGTATAAGTGCTTTTTCTTTTTCATTTGTGGCTCTACACATTAAATGTATGCACATCATCAGGTCTATAATCCAAGCTTTTAAACTCCTGACAGGAACAGACCACTCTTGTCTTGGCTTGTGGAGTGATGCATCTCTTTTTTTTTGTCTTTAACAAAAATGTGCATTAGTCATCTGAAGTATCTATGCAGTATAGTTGTCCATTGATGTCGAACCCCAGTGGCACTAAGACTAGGGAGCAAGTGGATATACTTAAATGGCTAATCAGCAGTTACAGTACTTGTGCCATCAATGTGCATTGCTGTAACTGTTTAAATATGAACACAGTGTCTGATATAGCCTTTCATAGCCTGCTTTTAGAATTGTGTCTATAAGTTGCTCTAGCAGTCTTTAGTAATTACACCATATATTAAAAGCAGAAAAGGAGAAGAATAAAAAATAACTTATCTAATTATTCAAAGTACTCAAAGCACTAAATCTGGAAGCAGTAAATTAAAGCATTGCACTGATGAATTGGAATGTACAGTTACTTCATTAATGTGCTAGAGTAAAGAAAAAAGGTCTTCAGCTGGAGATTTTTAAAGCTTTTTGCTGCCCTCATTAACAACTGACATTTTATATCAGATCTGCACATTTGACACATGGCAGACTCTTTGGTCCTAATCAAGACTGATAATTGGGTAGGGCTGATATGTAGCAGACCACTGAATCAAAGTGATGGTCACTGAATGTCAAGGATACATACTTGAAGAATACTGCTGAAATTGGAAATGGAAAACCCAGTCCTATAAATGTGTTATTAGTAAAACCACAGTATCTACATTTTTTGGCAAATTGTGCCAAGACAGTTCTCCAGTCTCAATCACAGAGCCTTTTCCTTTTTTAACAAAAAAGCTTCTACCCCAAATTGCCAAAATTCCTCTATATTACTTTTTCCCATGTGGTATAAATACTAGCCCTTACCGTCACCACTAAAGGTGCAGAAGTGAGACATTCATATATGCTCCAAATACGAGTGTCTCATTTCTGGTCCTTCAGTGCATTGCATTTTGACATAATTGCCTCACCTTTCTATCATCACTGCCTTTTTAATGCGTCAGAACACTTGAGCTTTGTTTACCTATACTCGCTCTCTGGGATTTGCAACAATAATTCAAATAAATTCTTGAAGGGCTGCCAGTGTTTTGACAAGATTCGCTATAAACTGAAATTGTTTACCAGCATGTTATGTTGAATGAAACATGCAATTAGACAGTTTCAATTAATTATTATTCAAGCTTTACTAACATGAAGAGGTTACAGTTGTGCAGCTGGAAGAAAGGCCTACTTTCGCACCCGAAGTACATAGCCAAGAGCTACGTTTATATTGTGGATTTTAAGGCACAATGGTTTATTCATTTTAGTGCATATTTAGTTCAGTGACATGAAGATCAACAATTTACCACAGACATACGAATACAATACTCCAATTGTGTTAATAACTTTTATCGTTTTTATAATGATAATATCAAAGTACTTTTTACTGGAAGGTGCTGTATATAATACCATGTAATCAATCACAGTAGAATTTTTAAAACAGATCATGCTTTAGTCGTTCTTCCTTAGTGCAGCTCACACATCAACAACCACTGACCATATGTTTTACTTGAAAAAAGATCAATAACCCAGGACCAGGACAATCCATTCAAGTAGGAAACATATGCCCAGACTGCAATAGACTCTGTCTATTCCTCATTGGTTAATCACTGGAGCTACCAATTAGGTGATCATGGAAGATAATCCCTCTCACCTGTGGAGGATACCAGAGAGGGAAACCACAGCCCAGGGTGAGCATGCACACTGGACAGAGGTGATTTGTTCAAAAGGGGAACATAATTTCTGAGTTTGACCATCTAAATGCATGTCTCAGAAACAGATCTGACTTTACCCAGAATTCTGCATCAGAATGTGAAAGTTTTCTGTTCACATGTTTTTTTTTCATTACGAACCTTTGAGAAATGTGCTGCTGTTTTCAATAGTTACTAGGATACACAACACAGTGCTGTATTCCCAGGATTCCCAGTCACAGCATGGCCCATTCCTGCCTCTCCATAGCACACATGCTTTGAGTGGTGGGAACTCCACACAGAATGTCGCTGTGTCTCATGGTCTCCCTCGCAGGCTTTGCTGGCCACAGTGCATTATTACTCACGGTACGAGTTTGAGAGTGGCATAGCGCGTACCAAAAGTAATAATGGACTGTGCAACCAGCACTGCTCATGTCTTCGCCTTTTGAGCTGCAGTGCAAAACAGGAAAGGCACACGCACAGCATCTGGCTTCACAAGCTTTGATACAAATGGGACCCAACATCCAGAGAAAACCAGAAGAGATGGAAAGCAGGAAAAAAGTCTGATACTTGCTGATTACCTTGAAGACAAACTTCAAGGTGATTTTGGCATGCTATTGGTGGTTTCAAAGAGTTTGATTAAATCTGATCTGGAACTTCTAATGTTAAAACTGAAAAGCATGTTCATATCTGGTGCTAACAGGTGGTGTCCCTTACCAGCAGAAAAAAAGAATTGAGCCTGAAGGTTACAAGAGCATCTTCATGAATACATCTGAAGTCTAGACAGATGCATGTGGTTTCAAATTTATTTTTAGTGCAGCACATTGGTACTTTTGCCATGTGTCCTCCTGGAATACAGTACGAAGGTTGATTTGTAGCTATCCTGTGTGGTGGCTTAAGATAGGTCACCACCCTACCCTTTACAGGTCATCCACACAGCTGTCAGGGCATCAGGCACCGTTTTGATTTCATTTCTAATGTGACAACCCAATTGATTTTGTAATCAAGATACTGGTGCAGATATAATTCTCGCATTCTGTTCAATGTTACATTTGTAGTAAAGTGGGTCAAAAGAGTCAAGGTCACTTTCTCAGACACCAATAGTAATGAAACCCAAAATATGCAAGATAAAATTACTGAGAAATCTACTAATATGAATATTATTTAGGACCTTTTTCTTATGTGCATTGCCAAAGATCCTTTAAAGGATCAGATTTAAAAAAATCTGTAGAAAAAATCCACCAATCGGACATGTATTTATTGGTACTAAACTATATAAATGTATTCTAGTACATGTAGTATGTAGTGCAAACAAAAGATTATTTGGCTCTCAACTTTTGAAGGAAAGTGTTTTAGCACACAAAGAGATATCAAGTTTTTCTACAACTATAGCATTGATGATGCAAATCATAAAATCTGCTTTTAATTATTGCATCAAGGTGGATACAGTACCGTTTCTTAAAAGATCTAATCTGTTATCACTGATCTCACAAATCATTATTATAAACTGCAGTAAAAATGAGTAGCCTACCTGCGGTAGTTGAGGAAAGCTTTGGAATATTGTTGACTTTGTTAGGACTAGACAACTCCAGAGCCTCACAGGAATGCCCATCTCTGTCCAACTGGTATCCCTCCGGACATCCACACTGGTAACTGCCCACAATGTTGATACATTGCTGGGCGCAAGAATGTGACCCATTACACTCATCAATGTCTGAAGAATAAACATGGAAAAAAGACCATAAGAACCTCCAGGACTATAATTGCAAATGTCTCACAGGATTTCTTAAAAATGTTTGAACAATCCTCAAGACTAGGCCTGGATTTTCTTCTACCACCAAAGGACATCTTTCTGCCTGTGGAGGAAATGTATGTGAATTTTAAATCCTGAAAGCAGGCTGCAGAAAACCTACAGAATCTAGTCAAAGCAAGTGTTTTACTGGAAAAGACAAATATTTTTGTTACAGACCATCTTTTCTTCAGAATGTAAACTGCTTAGGTCTATAAATGCAATTTAATGATAATAACAGAGTTAAAGAAGGGAATATCAACACACTGGTGCTGAAAGTATATGGAGAAAATGACTGCACAGAAGCAATAACAGCTTTTGTTTCCATCAAAGGAACATTTACCTGTCTGGCAGTATCTTCCAGTCCACCCTGCGGCGCAGGCACACTGGTTAGGCCTCACACACGTTCCTCCATTCATGCATGGCTTCATGCAAACAGCTGTTGAGACAGAATACATGCCGGTCCGTTTCAATCTCAGACCACAACTGTGAGGTCTGGTGCTTATTCCCCCAAAATATTCAGGCAGTCAGTTTGCAAAGGTCATTCTAACCTCTAGTAGAAGGTGTAGTTTATCAAGATTTCTATGGATGTGTGTGGGAGTGTAATTTTAAAATTGTGAGTTTTACTCTTTAATTTTTAATTGTCAATTATTAAACAAATTCAACTCATCACTATAACCCTCAAACTCTAATGAGAGAATGAGATGTGGATAAGACATACAGTATGCATATTCAGTGTACACTGGCTGAGGCAATGTGCTTTGTTTCACACTACGAGTCCCATAGTGCCATTGGCTGAGCTAAGGGAAGATAGAAATAACTATCACTTCTAACACTGCACTCCTTGTGCCTGGCCAACTACAAGAGGTCTCTATTGCATTGTGGACTAATGATACAGTGGTTCACAATTGCTAGTGCTCAGCCACTTAGAAAGCAGCAGTTTGAGAAAAGAACCAATTTACCTCTTAAGAGAAAATGAGATGTGAACATACTTGCTTAACAGAGCTGACAGCTTAGCAGAGCTATTCGGCACACAGAAGATCCACAGACTGATCTTCTAATCAGTTAACAGACTAGAAGAGAGGAACATCCCTCTCTGACATCACTACTAACCTGCCGATGCACAGCAAGTTAGGGGACCTGCAGTTTTGCCAGGAAGTTAAAATTGACTAGTCTCATTGTATATTACTCTGGTGGATCTCTGCCATTTGTATGTTGCTGCTTGGGAAATCCCAGTCAAAATGGAATAGTGACATGGCCCGGGCTCAAACTAGCAATGTATTAAATACAGAGTTCAACCTGCACTTCAGTGTTGTTACTGTTCGCACCACTCTGCAGAGCCCCCGAGTTACTTTTTCATAGGTGGGATTAACAGCTATCTAATCAAGAAGAAATGAGGTGGTTCAAATACAGCAAAGTAACTGAGTGTTAGGAATACAGTATATGCATTAGCCTTTCTCTTCCCTCCTGCCATTGCACAATTGAGCTTCTCTTTTGAAATCCATAGTCATGTGGTTATTCAATTGCGAGAATAGGTGTGTACAGCTTGCTGTGCATGTATCTTTATAAAAATTCTTGCCTAGTTTTCACTTTGGACTCATTTGTCTTGCTCAAAAGATATTATGTCACAAGCACTGAATATCTCTTGTTTAGTGTCATTGTGTTGTTTAAAAAAGATGGGGTTTAATCACCCTGGCAGTTAATGGTACGGGTATGTGTAAAAATGCTTGAGATCCCATATCCAAGTCCAATAAGTTGAACTTATATTTAAACAAATACCTGCTCTATAAAGTATTGCAAGTGTTTTTCACTAGGAAAAAAAAAACATTATAATCTCAGCTTTTTGGAAGTGTATTTGGATAGAAATGACTTGTAGAAAATAATGGTCGTATATGTACCTAAATTGCGTGTTTGTCCTCTCCTATTTTCTGTGTTTCCAAGTTAAACACTGACTGACTGACTGAAAGTCTGAGGCATCTGTCTGTGGAAAGAGGATGATGTAAGCAGTGTTACCTTGGTTACAGTTGTGTGAATGGACTCTCCGCCACCCAGGACAGCACTCAGAATAGGAAGGAGGCTCAGGTGAGGTGACCTGACGGTATGAGACTCTGTACACAGTTCTATAAGGAACCAGCAAAGAGAAACATGTTGTAATGTTTTTTTTTTCATGCTAGACAGATTTATTAAAACAAGGATTGGGAAAAGATCAACATTTTTGAAAGGAACAGAAACTCGTTTTATTTTGCTAATGAGGCACCATCTCTAATGAGAGAGTTTTTTTTCTGGCAAAGCCTTTAAAAGCCATCAAAATTGCTAGAGAGAAACTTCACAAAACTCCATAATTTGGTAATAATGTGTAGCTGATGAAAATATTGATAAAAAAATGAGATTACTATGCAGCAGGATAAAAAATTGTGAAAGGTACAGAAAAAAATAACAGGCCCAAGTTGCCAGAATAAACAGATGCTTGATCTCTGTGGGAAACCCTACATTTCCCATAGTTAAACTTTTTCCAATATTTATATTCCACCCAAATCTCCATCATTATAATTTAATTCTGTGTGAGAGTCGTATCCCAAAAGGGACTGTCTCGCTGTGTCCCATTTCTACGCCCTGACAACCTTATAGATTAAATAGTTAATACAGGTTTTCACAAGCAGTTGTTCCCTATCCACCGGGTACCATGGTAGACTTATGAGTCAAACATGTTTCATTATTGTGCCCCTGTCTAGATGTCAGGGTCAGGTTGGTCCATCCTGTCTTTTTTATTATACTCTTGTTGTTATTGCAACTAAAAATAAATACTTAGAACAGAAGAAAAATGATCAATGAGACATTGCCATTACTAATGGAAAGTTTAAATGATGGGCAGGTTTCTTACCTGTGCTCTAATGCTCACAAAACATCTTTGCTGTCTTTTAAAATGCCACACTACACACAGACAGTACTGGTCAATATCAAACACAAAATGACTGAACTTTAGACTGTGTACAATTAATACTTCAGGTGTGTAGTGGAGAAACCTAATTCATATTTTAATTAGTTATTTTTAGTGATTTGGGTACAGAGCGAAACTTAGAAAGCATTAATAAAGAAACGTTTTTGGGGTGTGTCTCACAGTGTAGTTTGTATTGGCCTTACTTGTAGGTACTGCAGAGCCTTTTCCCATCACAGAGAGTCATGTAGGGCTTATGCACAGCTTGCACGAAGGATTCTGTGTGAGAAACTGGAGTGAGCTGCTGACGTACATCTCTGCTACACACTCTGCGCCTGAGAAAAAAACATGCAGAACGACAGCACGTTAAATGACTGTGGTATGCTATTTTGTAATAGACCATACTGCTGCAAATTCTACTATACTGTATATACACAGTGAATTCTAATGGGTTTCCACAGACATGTTGCTATAGTGGGCAGATTGTAACTCTCTTTGATGTAGAAATCTGTACTGTATTTATAGTGCAATTTGTTGGTGCAATCCCACGACAGTCAGTACAGCCCTGAGCTCATACTGTAGTACTGTGGACAGAAGCATAAACACGAGCTTGGTGTTTCTCTGGAATCCATTCAATTAAGTATAGAATTTTAGAGCTACTATCCCATTAGTATCCCATTGGACTACTTTTATAGTTAAAGCTATGTATAGTATGTAAAACATTAAAAATGAATAACAGGAAACCTGTTAAATGGGATGGACCTATTATGGAGTGTTAAAAGTTAAACTTACAATAAACTTTATGGAGAAATTATAGTAATTTATCCCTATTACATTTCAAGTATGTTGCTTTGACTTTCAGAACTGTTGTAACTATTTAAACCATATTGACCATCAAAGCCAACTATGTGGTCTTAAAACAGAAAGTAAGAAGGCCTTGCAAATAAGTACCAGATGAGGACCTTGGACTCTTAACATGTCCAATAATTGTCACTCTGTGGCGGATCCTTTTGGGATGTGTCTGCATCAGAACAGACCTATTCGTGAACTCATTCAATAACCTTCCAATTCTGGAGGTAATGTTCAAACTGTGAGCATCTCGGAATAAACTTTGTTTAAAAAAAGTTCCTTAAAATTGTGAGTAAGTCTGCCAGGCATTTTAATTCTTGGCCAGAATTTGTTCTTGAATAACCCAGGATCCTTTATAAGTTGTAAAGGACATGTGTGTAATAGTCTTGAGAAAAATATGAAATGCAGAAAACTCTGATGATTTTCAAGGTAACTCCTCATCAGTTTAATTGTAGTCAATTCATTTCCATACTCAAAACTAGAGCTTTACTATAGGATACCTTAAATGTGATGATTTTTGTATTCTATACTACGGATAAGAATAATCTGATGCTAGTATTATAAGACTAAATAGTCTTACTTCAACCATAAGACATAAAATAATATGTAGCTTTAAACTAGTCCCATATTATTAATTACAATTAATTATTAATTATTATTCTTAAATAAGAACTAGATAAAATGGCAAAAAAGACTTGACAAATGAAATCTGACTTGAAGCACAGTCTTACCCTGGCTGAATGAAGTGATAGGTACAGGACACTGGGAGAATGAGCAGAGTAAAGGTAAGGAGTAGGACCACTGGGTGCATGTCTGCCTGCCACTCTCCGTGTGTCTCTCTCTCTCAGCTGCGTGTCCAGACAGTCCAAAAGTGCAGAAGTATTTGCTCTTGTACCTTTCCCCGTCTCTTCTGGATGCAGAGCAGGAAACCCTAAATGCCTAAAAAAGATACACAGATAGCCCATGGGTTAATACTGGCCTTTCACTGGCTTAAGTACCACTTCTTCTATGCAAGATGCTTGTTTGCTATTGGTTTCTTTGCAATGAATAAGGAACAACAGCCAGTTCAAATACTAAAGTATGTTATGGACTGATCCATATTTAGAATAATCTTATAGAATTTTCACCAGGTGGTGATGTGGTGTGTGATAATGTTTGTGTAAATCACCATTAACGAAGCAGTAGGATATGCTGTACTCGGTTACCAGCTTCACTTTGCTGCTTTCAACGACCTCCAGCTACAACCAGGCAGAACAAAGCAACAATAGTGTAACACCTCAGATTAGGTATTAGTAAATATATATACACTGCATTGGTTAGTTTTTGATGGATTTAACTGCTGTGCTGTTTGAATTTGTTTATAAATGGTAACTCCTGACTCACTCTTCTGACTCGGTCCTTGTGCATGTTTAAAGATCCTGACATCCATAACCACAGAACAACATGTTTCGAACCCATGGCTCAATCATACTGGAGTTTTCCCAGCCACTCTATTTGTGCTACCCAAAAAGACCATTAGTTGATCATTTTGTGGGAGGTAGAATATGTCTGAAACAGAATCCTAACTCTGACATTAGCCAGAACCAATACACATTGCACTTGGTTAAATATGTCACTTAGATAATGACATACTCTGTTATTATAAGGATAATTGTGATGCTGGTAATAATTATGTTAACTGACAGTATTGACTGTGCAATTGCCATTCCCTATTGCAGTTTTGTGCCCCCTTATATTTAACAAGCTGAACAAACTTATACTGTTTTAAAGTTCCTCAGCGTAGAAATTCTCAGTGCTTTTGCAGCTTCACATTAGGACATGGTATTTTTGTAGTTTTACCATTCATTTACTTTTCTTTGCTGTGCATTCCCACATTTTGAATAATGTTTTACCACATATTCTTGTTTTTACCATGAGTTTACTTTACTAAACATTTCTGTGCCATTACAATGATACACAACAGTAGACATTGGTTTTCAAGCAGCGATTACTCAAAGCTGAACAGCAGGTTTATTTTCTATTAATCTAAAAGATCTGATCATCAGATATTAACTTACACATTCTATACAGGTATATTGTACTTCTTTTCTCCTATATATAATAGGAAACATTAAAAGTAAAATTGTGTTGTCAAAAGTGAAAATCTGAGCTCTTCTATTAGAAGGTTAATCCTGGCAATTCATATACCAGCTCAGCTTTGAAGATGCTGTCAGTCTTTTGTATTTACTGTACACTGAGAAATGGGTCTGCAAAACTGAACATTGATATGGAAATCGCATATACCCACTGTCACAGTCTTAACAGGAGCAATGTCCACATACTTCCCTGTCAAAATGATTACCTTGGGGGATATGGTCTATAAAAGTTTTCCTGGGAAAGTCAATGGAAGTTTTGTGCATATAGCACACTTTAAATCATATCCAACTATGAACATCTTGTTGTGGATTAAAAAGAAAGTTCATTTATTACCAAAGTGACAGAATGGAAAGATGCCATCTCATCTGTCCTAAATATGAGGGAATAATGGTGAAATGTGGGAGCTTATAACAGTTTAATCTCACTAGCAAATATCCTAAATCTGGTACTCTTTTAAGTTCTACAGTGCCTATGTTTATCTAAATTGTTTTATGCAAGTTTTGATATATTGTATGTGACTAAACTAATTCACTGCTGTCATTAACCCATCACATTAAAATATTCATTATAATCAATGAGTTTATTTATTTGTATTATTGTTCTAAATCCAGACTGTTGTTAAAACAATCAGTTTGATTACGTTTCATGTTGAGTAGAAATAAAAAAAATGAATAAACAAAAATTGCGCTTCTGTTTCTCAAATATACTATTCTTTCTGGGGGAAAAAAGCTTTTGGTTCTCCTAGATCGAAAATAAGCCAGCCTTCCACACTCTCTTATTAACACCCCGTGGAGATTGTGTTTTCTAAAGGACAATCACTGTACACTGGCATCACCTCACCGTAGCTATAAAGCCAGCTAGGGCAGCGCTAATGGTCTGGTACGAGGAAGTTGTTTATACTGTAACTATCAGCCAGTTCTGGGCAGAACAGTAGAGAGGAAGCGATTCCATCAAAAAGGTAATGAGCAGTTTATTTAAGGTTCAGAAAAAAGTCCCTAAAGCTTATTGGCAATAAGACCTGACCTCTGTCCTGTGGGTCTTTACAGGCAGCAATGATAAAATACTTACAAGGGCCTACAAGTCTTAATTTTCTCCTAATGTCTACCCTTTTTAAGGCTATTTTGCTATGCCACATGAGACAGGAGTATTTTTCAGTAGTCTGGTGTACACAGTGCTCTGATCATGTTTGTACTCTATTCCTGTGCTGAACTGGTGTTTTGTTAAACTAGCTTGAAATGCTTTTTTGTATTAAGCTCTATTTTTTATTTCTTTCAGGAAATCTGCCATGGAGTATCTGGTGAACTAATCAAAGGAGCAAAGATAATTCATTGAGGTTAGTTCTCCGGCACTCGTACTCCTGTATGTCTTTGAGATAATGGCCATATGGTCTTTATCTGTTTCTATGTAGCATGACAAGACCTCTTGTAACACTAAATGTAGGAGATAGACTGTAGCCAGTCACAAGCAACAAATCACACAAATGGTCACTGGAAGAGTATGTGAATTTTCTACATCCCTATTAAAAAAAGATTAAATAGACCACATAAATTGGGACAACTTCGTGCTTTCTACAAATTTCTTTTGTATCAATCTGTACTGTACATCATTTGATAATAAACTATTTATAAATAAGAATCTTTTGACTGAACAGCAGTGCTAACACATTAATGCAGTGGACTGTAACGTCCAATAGAGAAATACTTCACAGAAGAGAATAAGTTTCCTTTTTTAACATCTCTGGTCTAAGACATTCTGTACAAAAATATATATAATTCTTTGTAAATGCTTGTTCTTCCCCCGTTTTTCATAAAATGACCTTTTTATAGATGAGCGGCAACATTCCAAAATAAAGTTACAGTTTGTGTCTATTAACTTAGTAATTATTATTGATTAACTTATTGAATACTGACTTAATTAATTATGGTTAGTTGTGGAGAGTGATAGTGAGATAGTGTGCCAGAACCAGTGAGCACAGTTTTCTGTTTTCTCAGAGAACAGAAGTACATGCTGAGGATGAGTCCTATTCTGGAATATCCCTTTGCTTCAGTCACATTTTTCTCACGCTTTTATTGGCTTCGTTTGAGATTTCTGGATTGCTGTGGTGACAGCCTTCAATAGAAAAGGGCCAGGTTCTCAGAGGCTTGGTGTCGGAACATTACGGTAGACCTGCTTCTGATAACGTAAAGGTGAAACTAAGTACTGGCCGACACACATGGATGTGCATGTGACTCACAACTGGCTTGCTGCCCAGAGCACACTAAAAACTTGGTCTGTGTTCATTCAGAAATCATCTCACATAGATTCTACATCAATTCTGTGGTTTGGCTGGGGGTAAAGCCAGCATAGAATCAGCTTGAATATATCGTCTGGGAGTTTATTTTTAACCAAACACAGGCAAGATCTCAAAAAGAAATTGGATATTGACCAGACAGATCTCTTTCTTCCTCATAAAGCATCATGTCTCTTGCTGTCCTTCTTTAACATTTACTTAAAGCATGGGAAAATTACACATTGGTGCAGTTCACCTATTCATGAGATGGAAATTAACTATTGAGATTTTAAATAGAGATTTCTTCTTTAACGTTTTATGGAGGATGCAATACTTTTCAACACAGAACGAAAACAAGGACACCTGAAAATAGGCAATGTTTTTCTAAAAAAAAAAAACCCAATAACTTTCAGGTTAACAATTCCAAGTCAGCAAATTGTCATATTGTATCAAGTAGAAAATTGATATGTGTATTTGTTCCGTAGCCCAGACAGTTGTGCTTACAGATAAGAAACCCTGATTTAAAAAAAAAAACAACTCAATCCAATTATTTGCTAAAATGTGTTCAACCCTCATAATCCACGTACAAACTGTAACAATATATACCATGTGAGTATGAAATGCCTCTTTTCTTGATGGGATTACTGTATAATTCTCCAGAACCCCAAACACCCACATTTAAGATGAATACAGGATTGTTTCTGACTTTTTGTTCCGATATGGATATAAATGACAGTCACTGCAGGTGGTCTTATTTTAAGATAGGTTGACTAATACTCAATACTCATAACTTTCACGGACAGCGGATTACAGGCATTGTATGTGTCTGTTTTGTTGGTCTCCCTTTCAGTCCAAGAACATTGTACGGGAAAAATAAAGTAAACACATAAAGGCTTTTCTGTGGAGACTGACAAAAGCCCGATTGCATTCTCCTCAAGAGTCTGCTTTTCCTGGCACAAGAGAGATATCCAGAACGACAACCAATCATAGGGAACAAAGTCTGTGAAAAGTTATATGGATGGTTTGCTTGAGTAAGCCTTGAATTGTGTGTCAGCTCTGTTACTAATCACAAGTGACACTCAATCAGGATCTATTATATTGGTTCGCACACTTGGGTGGACTTTTGGAGGTGAGTGCCTCTCCTTATGAAGGCTCTTGTTCCCTGACAGGGGGCGGACAAAAGTTGCTTCAGTTTTGACAAGTGGAGGCAAGTGGTTGTGTACTTCCCAGAGACTTAAAAAGGGAAGAAGACCAAGGAGAGTCTTTTATACAAGAACTAGACTTCCTGCAAAAAACATTGTTTACACACAATACTGGCCACTATTGACTAGGACAAAGGGAAAGAAGAAAATGCATTCTCCTGCACTCTCCTCTATTTCCCTCTATTTTGTGAAACCACGTTTTGAATAGGTGGCTGGAACAGAAAAACATAAATGTTAATTGGGACAGTCTACAATCGGGATGTATATCTAAAGTCACCAAAATTTTTTCCAGAGGAGAAAACCTGAACAGCGCTCAGGATCGCAATCCATAGTCGATAGCACATATGAGACATTTCCTTTCATGCACTAAAAGTACAGAAAAAAATGACTGATTTGATAAGACATCTGTATAGGAAAGAGATAGGCAACAATCCTGTAGCAATTTTCTTCTTTGAAAAGATATTTTGAAAATACACCTAACTGAGTTCTGTTGTCTTCTGCCTCCTTATTTGCCTGTGCTATATCCCAGGGCACAACCTAACACCATAAAACACCCAGCTCATATTTCAGAACTTTGCCTTTTTAATTCAAATTATGTATTGAAAAATCTCACTGATTTATTTTAGAATGTGAGAACCCACACTATTTAAGTGGCCCTCAAGTGCTAGAATTGTGTTATATTTGTTCCTATGTAAAAATGTAAGCTTCTAAATTTGTTTTTGTGTTTTTGAATTTGTTCTTTTGTTTTGAAATGTGTTTTTCACTAGAGGGCCACTGTACTTTAAAGACGAACGGTCTAATTTCAGATATTTCAACAACAGTCTACAATGATGACTGCAGAGTGGATTTTCCCCTAGGAATGCAGTCACCTAGACAAATGACAGCTGTCTAGTTAAAATCTGCAACCAGAGAATTACTGTACGCTATCAAAATGAAAGTCGTTGTCATTCTTTTCCCTGCATACCGAAGAGAAGCAACAAGTATGAAAGTCTCTGAAGAATAAAATAGATTCTGAAAACAAAGCAAAATTCCAGTGTATACTCTGTGTTCAGTTACTGCACAGTGGTATGAGATATATCCCTTATACAGTAGTTCCACAATGATATCATGTGACAAAGATATTTGATTTGAGCTTCTGTATTGTAAAACATAAAGCCTTTTAAAGAATTAATCAATCATCAATTTAGTTACATGTTCTTTGAATGATCCAATAGTTAGTCTGATTTGCAGATCACTCTTATTTGCCCAGTGCAGCAAGACTGTAAGGTACTGTATGCTAGTTATGCTACAGACAAGGCTCATTATTCTAGATAACCTTAGAAATATGAGCATTTATCATATTTCACCACTATTGCTTGTGCCCCATGTGACCTAAAAACCCCACAGGTTCTGTTTGACCCTGTGTGGCAGTCTGTTTATTTGAACATGTATATAAGAAATTGCTGCCTTTTTAAAGTTTCATGACATCTTCTTGAATGACAGTCTTTCATGTTTATGTCCCAACTGAGCCTCATCTCATTTATCACATCTTCAATCCTGTCTGCATTTCACTTGAGGTAAAAGACAAAAATAAATAGGTGATACCTCAGAGGGACAGAACGCAGACACTGCTTGTTTTGTGAGGCAAATCATCCTACATAATCCTTCTTGTTCCTTTATGGTTTTGGCTAAACATATTTTTATCTGCATTTAAATCCATTGATTCAGTTTCTATTTCTGACTGGTATGCCATAGCATCTTGTGTTCATATCAGGCAAAAAACAAATCATGGAAAGGGATAAACAAATTTACCTTTAACAAAGTTGTTTTTAATTACATTTTGTGTAAATGTCATTATATTGTGTGTTTGTAGATTTTTTATCAGTTACTCTGTGAATCCTCAAAGCTTGTTGAGGTCAGTGCTAAACATTGTAATCCCTGTTTTAAGACCTAGATTAAAATCCTTAGCACTGACTGAAACCAACTCAAGGTGACATTTACATTTTGTTTTTCTGGTGTAACTATCCAATGCCTCCCATTTTTTAGGAAACAAAGTATAACACTTTAAAGGTTTTAACACAAGGAAAGGCCAATTTCATGTAAAGTTACAGTATAGAATGTGACCCACGGTATTTTTTAAGCATTTGAACCCTTATTGACCAACAGAGGGCGCTCCTTTGCAAGAATCTCGTGGCTGGAAAGAAATTCTTTTCCCTAATCAAAACTGTATTTTTTTACATTTGCTGACACTATCGGATAATTCCAATGAGGATAAACTGGACCGCAACCGTTCTTAAAAACGTTAAATGCTGCATTCATTATGCATCAAAGCGTTTATATAAATCAAATTTTATAAAAGTTTATAAGATTAAAGATTAGGACATAGCAGCACTTCACGGGCATTTGTTCAATACAGTTAATTTATAGAGAATACAAAATTAAGTAACGCACCTGTGTATCACGTTATTAATCTTTTCAGTGATGCAACACAATTCAAGTGTGAAGTTTCAGGCAACAATGTGCATGTTAAATGATATGTTTTAATACGAAGAGCGCTCTCACTTGAAGCAAAGCAAATGTACTTACACTTTGTACGTTCCAGACACGGAGTCATCGTTTAAGAAGCGTATGTTAAACGTCTTCTAGCGAACATAAAAAGTAAATCTCGCAGAATAGTGCTATTGGTTACTAAATCCCGAGAGCAACTGCTGTTAGCATCCCCTCTGTCTTTCCAATGTCGTATTCCCGCTTTGGTGCAGTAGTTTGGAAGTTACCGGTTTGATCTCTCTCGTCTTTTGCAGAAACTGACAGAACTCTCAGGGGCACCCCGCTCCCGCCTCCCCGCGAGCCAGCTGGAACCCCCGTGACCACAGCAACAGGTCTGGGAAACACCCTCACATGACGTAATTAAAATGGGATTCCACATAGAGCGAAATCGCACCTGAACTGACCATTTGGAGCTACACGAAAGCCTTTCAAAAAAATCTGGTAATGTTTCTGCACCTAAAAAAATATTTTCTAATTTTTTGCTACGATTTAGCAGTAAAATTCGATAGTCTTAATTTATCAGAAATCATTAAATAAGTCGTTAGGTTTTTAGAGTGGACCGTATGAAATTAATTTTCCATTTGAATAATACTTTATAATCAATCTTTAAACACCAGTATATTATTGATATTAAGTTAATAATAACATTACACGAAATGTCATTATTGCATAAAATATTTAAATAATTTAATCTGATTAAATCTGGCAAGCAGTGTCCAGTTGTACCATATTACAGTATTTTATAGAAGAAGTTGTTCCCTGATCTGCATACTTACAAATTAAGTTAAATAAGATAATATTTCATGAAAAAACAATGATCGAGTACGTTTGTAAAGATCGTTACAAACACCGTCACGTCCACAAACTTTACAAGGGGAATGTTCAAACATTTGGATGGGGCGACTCTCCACTCCTTCGAGGAAATATTTAACCCTAGGGGGCGCCATTGCGATAAGGACATTCTTCTGAACCTCGGTTCTGAAGATCAGAACAGCCGTGCGCTTCCAAGATTTAAAACCATCTACTTTAGTGCAGCGTAACATATAAGTCCGCTAACAGAAGTATTGTTTAGCAGGACCACTATATTGTAACTACATCTTGAGTTTAAAACAATATAAACGGCACGAAAATATTGAAAAACGCTAATGTTTAGCACCTTTTTCAATATTCGTACCCATTGCCAGATACTGTAGGTTTTACTAACTGTATACTGGATATCATTACTTCTGTTGATCAGGAACTTTTTAAAGACTTTCTGCTGTGAAATTGCAGTATAATATATAAATCGGCTAACAGAAATATTTAGCAGGACCCCTATTTCTTAACTACACCTTGAGTTTAAAACTGTATAAAGGGTAAGAAAATATTAAAACATCCAAAAAGTTTAATGCCTTTTTCAATATTGGTACCCGTTTGCCTGGTAGATGCTATCAATTGTGTACTGGTTACCATTACTTCTGTGGAACGGCTGCCTTTTTCCGTCTTTCTGTTAAAACACACCGGAGTCCCCTAGAAGGCAAAGGGCGCGCGTGCTCCAAAGTGCTTCTGCATATTTTGTTCTTATCACATTTGCAAAGATGTTGACATAGCGGGAAGAAAAAACGAGATCTGTTGTGATGGGCATTTTGTTAAAACCAAACAAACGGGAAACTCCATTCCAAGCCCTGCACATAAATCTTACCAATTCCATCTCCTAGCGCTCCTGCTCTCCGTCTGCTAATTCGCTTTGTGCTCTGTGCCCTACAGCGTCACGCGCACTTGATCCACTTTCGGGCGCTCGTCTTATCACCTGCCTTTAATTTGTAATTTCTAATGTTAAAACGGAGCAGAAAAGGAAAACGATTGAATACAGACGATGAGAATGCTCCGTATTATTTCATTTTACCAAAGTGAAGCATATTTAGAAAAATAAATACTGTAAATTAAAATATCTCCTGCTTTATATATGTTTTTAGACAGAAATATAAAACCCGTGTTTAGCCACATTAATCAAAATGACAGGTTATATCTAACTGATACACATTGAAATCTAATTTTTATCCATATTATGAATTTAGAATAAGTCATAAAATTGTGAATGCATATACCATGATTATAAAACATTTGAAAAACTCATGGAAGTATATATATATCACTATATATAATAAAACGATACATTATCTTATATAATACATTATATTAGTAAAATAGAATATAATACCTCGAACTTTGACAAATGCAGAAGATCCTGTTTTCCACGGTAGTCAGAGCTGCAGCCATAGACACCAACGCTGTCCCTTTGACAGACGCTATACCAAACTTTTCCATAGTTTCAATTTCTTTTAAACTCGTCCCAAAGTTTTTACAAGGATACAACCCACGGTTCATTTTCAGTGCTCCCTGAGACCTGACTGAAGCGAAATGAAATGCCTTTGGAGGTTTCTGAGTTGCTTTTTATGCTTGCCTTCCAGTGGAAATCAGGAATTGGATGGACAATCCCAAACCGGAATTCCTGTGTGTGTTTCTAACTGATAAAACCGTTTTTTTACAGAACAAACACTCTCCATCCTGCTCAAACTGCTTAATGAATCACATTTTCACCATATCCTATCCCACACGTTTCAGGCACTTACACTAAGAATTATTATTTTTAGCCTTCTTAGAAATTCTTCGCATGTTAGCTAAATCATGAATAGACTTAACAGCCTGTGGCCCAGTAGGTGTATTTTCTAGAATAAAATGCAATATAAAACCTGGAACATACTTAAAAGCACATATTTCAATACCTGTATTATACTTATACCTGCCTGCATGTTGTTTACATAATGTTTTCTTAGAATACTCACAATTGTATTGATCCTTTTTATCCCACAGGTGATTGAAATGTGTAACTATTGCAAATCAAAATCCTATACAGCATCACATGAAAGTCTATAATTGTTTGGCAATGTTCAATGACCACAAGGAGAGAATTACAGGAAATGCATTCCAATAGTAAAATTGAAGCCTGATGTTTTAATTTAACAAAAGTACACATCTAATTTGAAATAAAAAAGATTTACGTTGCCACGCGCCTCACATTTTACAGCAACTGACTTGGCCTGTCATTCAATTATTCAGTATTAGGGCTCCAGAACCAGTGTATTGGTGCCTTACCTTGCGTGATTCAACAAACTTCCTAGTCAAATGAATCCCCAGCTTGCTTTGGGATTTTGCACATTGAAGTTATAAAACCCAAAAGCACTTGCTATAATGATTTGCACTGTACTATTGCACTTGGTGTTTGTAGGCTAAGTTTGTGCATGTACGTAGAACACAACAATATAAAAACGATTCCATTTTTCTGTGAGACTGCATTGCAACCATTCCTGTTTTTACCGGTCAGAGTTGTCACTATTGTCATGGGCCATATGATCATTCTTGAATTCTTTGTTGTTTTATTTTTTATTTGGTGGAAAATAGAATGGATTCCCTAAATCTTTATTGTTCCTTTAAGGAAAGCTCCACTTTGAAATGAGGGTTGACTGCATTGCTTGCACAAAAGGTACAATAAAATGGCAATTACTGGGAAGCTGTTAAATAGAGAAGCAGTGGAATATAAAGTGTTTTAAAGGGTGTTTTAATGAGCGGTATTGTGGAACATTATAAAACCATTCATTTAGTTCTTTTGTGGCTGTGCACTAAATAGTTAACTATGTTAGATTGTAAACAGGTGGTCCGTAAATTAATGGATAAAGAGCTGCAATGCCATTAAGTACACCAACCTAATTTCTTTAATTCTTGAAACTCTAGACATTCAATTTTTAAAAAATATTTTCTCATAGGAAGGATTTTCTTCCTCTAACTTTATTTTCATTCAAATTGGTTTTAATTAAGAAAGTCATTATGAGTTTGCCAACAGTTGTCTTTTTGAAAAAAATAAATAATTTAGTGTTATTTTAGTTTAAATTGATCAGTTGATTCAATATTTATCTTCAAGATTAATACTCCTAGTATTCAGCATTCAGTTCTTAAACTGCTGTATTGATGAGGTAACTGTGTAAATGTGTGTGTTTAGTCTAAAGGAATTTAAAGTATTAGAATGGGTGTTCAGTTTCAACGCCCCAAAAGCCACTAAATGCCTCTGATGTAACTGAAATAATAATTAAATAACTTGGTCAAATTAATCACTCAGCATTTAGCTCATTTGTACAGTCAGATTTTGTGTCTTTTCTCTCTACGATTTCTGGTGCATGAGAAAAAAGGGGAAACGGTCTTTTTGTTTCATTGTCTTTTGTCACCATGATGGCATTTACAAATTGCTGTGCTAATGAGGTTAATAGGGTAAGTATTCCTCTGTTGTGCTGGGATTGCTTTGGCAAGTCTCTGTGGTTGTGCTTTACTATCTAGCACTGCCTCCTAAGACCTGAGTTGGAGAGGAATTAAGGTATATTTCATTCATTTACAAGCTCAGAAGACTCAAAATGAGCAAGTCTGATGTTTTTAGCATGAAATTAAATTCACATTTCCCGTGTGTGGCTTCCCATGCAGCTGTTTGCGTAGATCTGTGTGTGGCACAGTATTCTGAAATGGTTGGAGTTGCTCAAATGGGGGTCAGATGGGACCAATGGCAGATGAAGCCTCTCAATATTTTGTACTTCCTGTGTACTGTTTGGAAAATGTGTCTGGCGTTATGAAACCATGACCTGTTAGTTTCTTGGTTAGTAGTGTTGTTGCTTTACAGCCATCAGGGTTAAATTCTAATCTTAGATTTCTGTGTGGAGTTGATCTCCTTGGGTTTAATTCCAGGTGGTCCAATTTTCTCCCATAGATGTTCTCGTTAGGCTTCAGTGGTTCTTTTAAAATGTCTCTTTTGGCACTGCAAGGGGCTTACGTGTCTTGAGTCCTGTGCTTCCTGAATATGCTGTGGCCTGCTCTGAACTTCACCAGAATAAGTGTCTTACTTACACTGGACAGCTGACAGCTTTACCATGCTTATCCAATGCATTTACTTTATTAGGCCATTATAACTATTATTATTACTGTTGTTACTATCATGCTTTTGCCCTGATTTAACTGTGCTTTACTTACTCTGCTATTACCTCACTTCACTTTACCACAATAAACTTTTTAAAAAGATGCATCATTTTAATGACTTACATAGAAACATTTTTATCGTTGGATTAAAAGTAACTGTTTAATCAACCTTTTCTCACAAAAAGCATTTTGCTTATTCATACAAACAATAATTGCTGACCATTTTTAATATAGTGTAACAGTGCCGTGAGGGTAATATTTACATAAAAATATGGTGTGAAACACTGGATATGTACCATAATGAAAAAGCAGAAAAAACGGTATTGTAACACGCAGATAAAATAGATGAGCTTGGTATGGTTTACAGAATAGTATTATCACTATTCCCTTATGCAGATAATGTTAATGCAGAAAGAGGCGATGGGGCATTTGTATTTGTCAGTCCTGTTGTAGACAAACTATTTTTAGTCAACTAAATTCTTCCGATTTGCTCTCAGAGCAATCCATTAAATCCCATATGGAGCCACCCATGAGGCCAAGTGCTGGAAAGCTCTTCTGAAGATGGCAAACAGAATAAGGGTTATCCATTTGTTTCATTTGTCAAGATGTCTTAAGTAAGCCTGTAAAAACAAATTTCTTTCCTCCATCGGCTACCTTTAGTAGATCACATACTAGTGCTGTATTGTTTGAAAACCAAGGCTAACTTTGAAAGCATTCAATATTTCTGACCTGTGATGTGTTTTAAACAACTAAAATCTGAATTCACTCAGGATGCAGAATAGATGAGCATGCTTCTAGGAGTGCTTGTAATAAATCCAGCAAGATAATTAATCATTTTCTAAATTCTCAAACAATATACAGTATGCATAAAAATAAAAAAATAATTGTGAAAAAAAGTTTATACATAGAACATGTTTTAACTGCAGCATACAACATTTACTAAGGTCATTGCATGCTGAGATTTATGAGTATTTAAGGTTACATTTTGTTAATGTGCAGAAAAATGTGCAGTACACTAGTCTGGTCTTCATTGTGTATCAACCATGTTATGTTTTGCACATGAGGATTAGGCAGTATTGAGTGCTACTAGGTGAGATTGGTTATGAAAACAGCAACTGGCATAAGGAGAACATGCATTCCTATACCACACATATGTCCTATGAAGACCTTGGCAATAAATTGTACTGTAGGAACAAACTGTACTGAATAGTACTGAATCTGGAGGAGCAAACTGTTGATTAACTGCCAGGCTCAGCTATTTTGTGGAGTTGTATTTTTTTACAGATGTACTGTATATGGTAACTTTTTATCATATACCTTTGTATCATATACCTGTGCTTAAAGGTTCAGAACCAAGAATGAGAAGGATTTGCTCTTGTTTCTTAAAATGAAGTAGAATCTTCACATCGCCACCAGCACTTAGTTTATTCCTTTACTGTTACAGTGGAGAAGTAGTCAAGAGGGATAAAGTGGTACAACAGCTCGGTTATTGGGTGAGAATAAGTGAGAATTATCTCAAGTAAGATGTTTGGGTGTGGTTTTGCCTTTGTTTTCTTTTCTTTTTAAGGAATGTGATTCTTTTCTCTTTGAAATCAAATCTGGACAGATCCAGTTTAATTTAGAACTCAGTTTCGCAGATTGACAAAAAAAAAGGAGAGAAAAAAGCCCTAGCATTTCCTGTCAGGGAGGAAGCAGGAAGCAAGTGGTGGAGACAGATTCTGGGGCCTGGCTACAAAGAACAATTAAAATCTCACTCGCTGAGGAAACGGATCTGCGTCAAGGGGAACTTGACAGATTTTTGAAAGGGCAGCAGCAATGACCTATTGAGGCACATCTAAATGACCATTCACCAAAGCCTCTACAACAGCACTTTCTACCAAGGGCAGTATTTTTCAGCAAAAACACTTTTTGTATTTTGGAACAATAGTAACACTAGAAAGGTTTCATATCCATAAACAACAGTACTAGCATATGAGGTTGTCAGAGGAAAGAACAGAGCTTATTGTAAATGTTATTGTTTCTGATGCAATGCAATAATGTACACTGGAATGTTGACTACAGGGAAACCTCAAATGCAGTATTTATGTTTTACAGAAGAGAAACATTAGCTTTGTTCTCTGAGGCAAATGCTCCTCATAATAGATCCACTTAGATTGTTCCTATGTCAAAATTGCAACCACTTAAAAAAGAAACAATTCAAACTTTGTTAAATCAGTTGGAAAGTGATGCTTCTCATTATTGCATAACTGTATTGCATTGTGGTGCTACAATAAACTGAAAGTTGTACAGCGTACAATTGTCTTCAAAGCTGTGCACCGGACTGCATATGTCATGAAGGCCTGGACCAGACCATGTGCGAATGACGCCACAGGTGAGGTGTTTGCCTGAAACGACCAACAAACAAG